CCTAGTGGCTCACTGTAGGCACCACAATCCGTTCCAGGCCAAAGTCCGACGCACTGGCGACCGCCCAGCGGCTCAGGCTCGAGCTACGGCACATGTAGGGCTTTGCATAAGCCAAAAGAGCGTCGGCGAAAGCCGAAAGTCCAAAGCAAACACCACAAATTAGTCGACGCAAAAGCAACTCTCACCCACACACACACTCTCTCTCTCTCTCTCTCTCTCTCTCTGTCTCTGAATGAGAAAAATATTAAGAAAAGGCAATAGAAACAAAAAAGATAAAGTTGAATTCGATTGCTTAACTCGCAGTTACCCTAAAGGCCAAGAGGTGTAATTCGAAAAGTTACCTGGAATATAGATTCATATATAATCGAGATTTAAACCAAACCCAGGAATAACAGTTCGAGCCGATCCTAAACCAAAACCTGTAGATTGTTGCAGACAAATCCCAGAACTTATGATAATTCACCCATCAATATCATCCACATGTGAGTCGTCTATATTTGTGGTTTATCCTTGCTCACATTTTACAGGGTATACAAATCAAGCGAAATTCCTTAGGCTCTGTTCGCTCGAGGCAGAAAAGTTTGGCACAGCCTGGAAAAGTAGCAGCTGCCAGGACACATGAATCAGCAGAAAGTCCTGCGAAAAGTTGTTCAATGATTTAATTAGAATTCTTTAAGGTAAATATCCACCTCCTTTGTGCTAAAGTTTAATTATGAAATTGTTGAAGGTGACACAACAAAGCGCCTAGCAGCGCCGTCTGCTCCACATGGGAGACATCTCCAATTACCTCAAGCATCTGCGGTGTATTAGCCCAAGACACTTAACCGATGTGTTTATATGAAATGCTAATGATGAACAACATTTCATGAATGCCCTAATGAATTGCCATCATCAAAGCGCGTTATAGTTGAGTACTTAAAGCAAAGTAAATAGTTTGAATTAAAATGGTTGGGGTATATCGGGGAAAGTTCGGCGATAGGCAGCCGAGCTAGAAATTTAATATTGAATTTTGATGTTCAGCTAATCAGAGCTGCTTGCTTAGTTCGTCACTTGAAGTTTAGAAGAGCTAAAGAGCTCAAGTTCCATAATTGTTTTCCCAATTCCAAACAAAACTTAAACAATTTCGTTTTTCAAAAGTTGAGCTCAGCTCTTAAGCCAGTTGCTGAGTTGGCTAGCACTTTGCGACCTTGTACAAATTGATCTCAGCCTTCCAGAAAGTCAACAGAGCTCGGAGAAATCCTTTGCATACAGCACGCAGCAGTTTGATAATTGTGGGCCAGATTAGTTATGGCTCATCTTTCAACTGGCGAAATTACTCGAGATTTTGGTATCCAATGGCAACGCGACAGCGGACTCGCTTGACACTGATAATTGACAAGGCGGCAACTGAGCTGTGCTCCGCCAGCTTCCATTAAACTTCAATCTTTCATCGAACTGGCAACAGCAGGAGCTGTGGCACGAGCACGAGCACGAGCAGGAGCAGGAGCAGGAGAAGCGGCAGCGGCGGCGGGCAAATACGCAAATGGCGCTGGATAAAGGCGAAATCACGTCAAGATTAATGTTTATTGATTTTCGCGGCCTGTGATAATATTACGCTTGAGACCGGAGCCAGAGCCAATCGAAGGAGCGCCTTTGCTCATCGGCTTAGTCAACGAGGGATATGCAAAGCCTATTTTAAATTTGTCTTCTGCTCTGCAGACTCTCGCTTCTATTTACATTTGCACAAATTCTATTGAAAGCATTTTTTGATATTGGTTTTGGTTTTGGTTTTGATTTTGGTTTTCAAATTGGGTTTGAGCTTGCAGTTTGGGGTGGGGGGTTTGTTCTTGTATTGTTTTCTCTGTATTTATTTTATTTAAGGTCTAGCGACGGTTCCCAGAAACAAAAGTGTTTGAAGGTATTGAGCGACTTAATAGTACTTACAAGTACTATTAATTATTTTAGGCAATGCCAACGAAATTTCTAATGTAAGTAAAAATAGATAGTTATCATATTACACCTGTATAAAGTTATCAAGTTTGTTTCCTTTGTTGTCATTCACATTTAGAGAGAGAGAATTAATGAGGTATACAAAGCCAAACCTCATTACAATATATATAGATCAATTTATCTAATTAGCTCTTTGCATATGTATGTGTATTCAATATTTTTAAGGAGTGTAATTTATTCAGCTTCTTGATAGGAATTACGCATCTGATTGAAACTAATTATGTATCATCAAACACTATACTCATCTTATATAAATTTATTAGGGTATGTAATAGAATTCATTAGAACAAATTTGCTGCAAATAGACATTCTTCCTATAAATAGCTCAATAAGCGAAATCAGATATGCAATCGAAGCTATAAACAGAAACACTTGAGAATTTCCTTGGAAATACTAAATTTACATCATTGGGAATATAAAAAGTTCACGATAGACAATTGGCAGACAGCATGTCGGTTTCTGCTAAATTACTTATAAAATTAAAATTAAATTACATATAAATTAAAGTGATTAACAAATTATTTGAATTAAACTAGTTCCGATTTGAAATATTTCAATCAGAAAAAATATCTAAGCAAATGACTATAAATAATTGCAATGCATATACTTTGGGAATATAGCTGACAGTCTACTCATATCTTCAATATGGTATCAGCTCGATGGGTCGCGGTGTCTTAGATTAAGCATATCGTTTCATTTTGGCCCGTGTCTATTGTATATAAAAACGATTTCAACTGTTAAAACTTTGTCAAAGAAAAAATCGCAACGCATTTCGCATGCCAAAAACAATCTGCTGTTTACATCTGGAATCTGTTCATGTACTTCTCATTAGGGATCAACGAATTATGGAAATAAATTCGCTTTTCCAGGAATTCTCGCAGCATTCTCGAAAAATAACAGAGTCAAGCGAAATTGGCCACGCCTCTCCTTAACTAGCCTCTGCTAAAAAGCAATTCAGAGATGGAGAGCTTCAATTGAGTTCTAATGATACTACATAGCACTGCATGAATGGAACAATTTACCCAAGGGCATACTTATTGGCAACTTTGCGGACTTGGGCAATTACAATGAGTGCATTGGCATTAATAAGGCAATATCGTATAACTATTATATCCAAGGCAAATGCTGCCGTGTGAAGATACCTTTATTCACTAGTTCAGCTAAGAGGCCTTTTCGCCTTCTGTTGGACCACTTATATGAACAAGTTTCTGAAATAATTGCTACAGAAGTTATTGAGAGTTAATATCAAAGCAGAAGTAATTAAGGAAAATACCTTTCAAAACTACCGATTGAAAACCTTTCGATAAGTTTAACCAAATGTACAATTTAATTGAAAATCCTTTTATTAATACTTTTCCCTAATATTATTATTGCAGACTACATACAATATGGTAAGATATATCGATAATACAATTTTTTGTATTTATCTATATTTTGTCTATATTTAGATCTTTATTTTTCCCCATTTTCAGTTGCTTTACTTTTCGGCTGGCTTTAGCCTAACTCTATTGTCCTATGTACATCATCATAGAGCCACCATTTGTCGTGCTAGAGATTATGCTTATGCACAACAGGCAGGCAAGCCCAAAGCCTGAAAGCCCAGTTAATGCACAAGTTAAGTCAACAGCTGCAGCCTCCAAAGTAGCATCAGAAGTGAAAAAGGCAACAATTAGCTTAGGACAGACTTAAGGCACTCTGCTTGAGTCTGCTATTATTTTAATGCAAATAGAATTAATAATGATATATGTTCTTTCATTTGACTAGAAACTGATTCTCTTAGTAATAAGTTTTGTTAGTCAGTCAAGACTGGTGTCTGCCTGGGTGCTATTAAAAAAGTTATTCAAAGAAATGTTCTATTGTTCTGTTTTAACTTCAGCTTATCCGTTTTTATGCTGAACTTAGATAGGATTACCTCAAACCTGATCAAATATTTATGTATTTTATTTAATATTGTCTTGAAGTCACCTTTGCATCTCTGGACACGAATACTACGCACGACCATGCTTAAGATTATGGAAATCTCATATAATCCTAGCTTAAGCACTACATATGCAATCTTTGAGGCTTTTAAGACATAGAAGAGCTTCAGGCTCTCCCATAAAAAAGATTGTTATAAATAAGAGGGCTTCCTAATGTAGTTTTAACATATATAAATACTATTCTAAATACTATTCTAAATAGGTAATCGATTAAAGCTATCTTTCAATACGTACTACTTGGTATTTATTTGCTTAATGACTCGTACGACTTTCCCAGTGAGTCAGCTCACTTAAGCGTTTGATCTATCCAGACGCTATATTCTATACTACTTATATAGTGTCAAATGCAGTGATTAGTAATGCCAACAATCTCAATGTTGAGTAGGCTCTCTAGATTAGATTAACTGCATTCCCTGATTAAATACTAATTGATATGAAAATGAGTGAATGCGAATTGAGGACTAGGAAATTATGTACACTGAACTCAAACTCGGAGTAACATTAAATTAACTAAGAAAATAAGGTGTACATATAGTGAGTTAATTTTCAGATTGAGTAAAAATTGGGCATATATGTATATAAGATTTAAGAAATTCTAAAAAATTTTAAATATTTTTAAGATCTTCTTCTCTTCAGCTTCTTTTTGATAAGCGATATAAATCGATCCAAGATAAGTTTTTGATAAATAAATATGTATTTATCATTATAAACATATGACTAAAATTATGAAGAAAGAACTGAAAATCTATTTTTAACAAATATCATGACATATTTATATATATCATCGTTAGACCCTTCCCCGCACTTCTAATACAGGTTATCGTAATGACACTTTGAAATGTATGAAGCGAGCTGCACGCGCTGATAAGCCAGTTACCAAAGTACTCGAAATTTATCAGCCACAGTTTAGTTGGAGGCTTATTTTCCACGAAGCTGAACTGTTATCAAAATGGCATTAGGATTTGTGCGCATATATAATGCTTGTCGACCTGCAAAGCGGCCCAATACTCAGAAATCAATTCGACCATTAACATGGTCGAAATAATGGCAATGCTGTTGGTTACTTGGCTGGCTTTGGCCAGTTCCTTGCAGCTGGAGTTCGATGAAATCGATTCCCTGGAGGGCTATCAATTTATGGAATTACGTCCACTTGCGATGGAGTTCTCACAGCACTTTAGGAATATAACTGAAAAAGACCTGGATTTACCTAGCAGCAGTCAGCAGGATTCACAATGCTTGGCTGATATGACACAGCTGCTGAGTGCGTTTAGATTGAAAAAAATTTGGGCCTTAAAGAGTAGGTACAGAGACCTGAAATTAAAAGCATGTATTTAAATTGACTTTTCTCGTTTTGTAGTGTTCGACGCATGGGGCACATTCCCCAAGGGTGTGCTGTATGGCAACAAAATAGATTTGGGCAACTATGATGAGTGCATTGGGATTAACAAGGCTATTAGTGATAACCACGCTATAAAGGGCAAATATTGCTTTGCTGGCGTGCCTTTCGTCAGAGGCATTATACTAAGGACAGCCGTTTGCTTTCCCGCCTCCTGCAACGCAACGCACATGGATAAGTTTCTACAGCCCCTGCTGGAGAAACTATTAAATATAAAAACCACAAAAGCCCTGGTAAGTGAAGACTCCTGCAGAACCAAAGAGCGCATAGAATACGATGGTCTTACTATATTTACTATGTGAGTATGTCAACTTAATAGTTTAAAGTTCTATTCTAAATACGTTTTTTTATTTGAAAAAGTGTTATCGTCTCATTACTGCTCGCTGCCGTTGTTTTGACAACGGCCTACGATTATTTCTTCTGTGAAGATCAAAGTAAGTATAGCAAAGAATTACCTAGATATTTTATATATACCCTACATATAATTGTATTAGAAAGAGTACTCATATGAGACTGAATAAGGGATTCATACAATAGTAAAAAAAATCCCTATAATTATATATGTATATAAAAATACAAAGAAGGAGAGGAAGAGAGAGAGAGAGCAAAAAAAATCTAATCTAATCTTAATTGTACAGGATATTTCCTAGTATAGGTTTCAAATACTTTCAGTAAAAATACAGAGGGAATTATAGACACAACATGCTAGAGCAGCATAAATCAATATTCGGTTTGAGTATAAGCTAGAGCTGCAATCTCGACAAGAACACGTATATTTATGTCTAATCCACTTAATCTCTTGCAGACCAACTGCCCGCCTTGATTAAGATCTTCTCAGCACGCGCCAACTCCCGTGTGCTATTCCGCCTCGTCCAGCCCAGGTCGAATCCAAATGTTATCGATTGTCTCAATGGCATGCGGTGCATGTCGCTCATCTGGGTGCTCTTTGGCCACCAATACTTGTTCGCCTTGATGGCGCCAAATATCAACCAATATCAATTGAAATGGGTAAGAGATTATTGATTTGCTTTAAAGCGAATATAACTGAGCCCATCCCAAACCTTCTGCTTTTGCCCTTTTATTGTTGATTAGTGGTTCGGGAAGCCCTTCACAAGCTTTGTGCTGCATGCTGGCTTCTCTGTGGATACATTCTTGTTCCTTAGTGGCCTCCTGCTGGTCGTGATTTCGATGCGTTCTCTTGAAAAGTGAGTTTGAAGTGCACCGGCAAGAGCTATTCATCAATTACCAATAACATTTTGTATTTTAGATCAAAGGGTAAACTGAATATTCCTATGATGTATCTCCATCGCTATTTGCGCCTCACTCCAGTAGTGGCTCTAGCCATACTCGTCTACATGACTCTATTGCCATTTATGGGTGATGGTCCTCTATTTGATAGCATTAAGTTCGATGACTATAATCATTGTAAAAGCACCTGGTTCTGGACTTTGCTCTTTCTACAAAACTATGCGACGCCAGACCTAGTAAGTGCACTAAACACTTCCATACACATCTTTTTTATCTAATCTCCATTGGCAGTGCATCAATCATAGCTGGTATTTGGGCGTGGATATGCAGCTGTATATACTCTCTCCCATATTTCTGCTTTCCTTGTACAAGTGGGGCAAGAAAGCTGCAGCTGGAATCTTTGTGCTAATGCTTCTGCTCTCCGCATGCCTCTTTAGCACAATGATGGTCAAGCAATATCCCATTCATATAGAGTGAGTACCATTTGAACTACACATAGAGTTCCCTTATAGCAAATGTTAACTTCACAGAATTGGCGTCACTCCGGACGAAGCTCAACGCAAACTCTACTATGCCACCCATGTGCACGCAGCTCCTTGGCTGATCGGCGTACTCTTTGGCTACTTCCTGCATGTGAATCGCAGCAGGAACTTTCAGCTGAATCGCATTGAGATCTGGCTGGGTTGGATCGTCAGTTTGGGTTTGATCTTCACATGCATCTTTGTGCTATATCCATTTGCCGATTGGCTTAATCCGCCATTGAGTATGCTGGAAGAGGCATTTTACTACACGCTAGCTCGCATCGCCTGGCCCCTCAGCTTGTGCTGGGTGGTCTTTGCCTGCATGAGGGGCTACGGTGGCTTGGCCAATAGTTTTCTCTCCTGCCCACTGTGGCAGCCGTTGTCAAGGATCTCATACTCTGCCTACATATTTCACATATTCATACAGCAAACCAATGGTCGACGCATGCGAACCGGCACATTTTTCTCCAACTACGATGTGGTAAGTTGAGTTTTACTTTCAAAGAATTCTCTTTGATCTACTTTGGTTTTTTAGATGTTACTTTTCTGGAGCGGCTTTGGCTTTGTTTTACTTTTGTCCTACGTTGTCTATATTATTATGGAGGCACCTTTCGGCGTGCTAGAGAGCATGCTTATGGCCAAAAGGAGAACTAGCTCCCGAAACGAACCATCATCAACAACAACCAACAAACTAGAACTGAATCCACAATTGGACTCTGATAGACCCCATAATACATAAATCTCTGCGAATTTCTACAGGCCTAGACACTTTATGGATTATATAGTTAAGTATAGATTTCTATTTATAAAACTACTTTTAATTTACGAATCTTATCAGGTTCTTTAATGATAACTTTGATTTGCACTCGTGAGCTGTCAGAAACGTGAAATTGTCACAGATATGCGTTGATAGATATGCGACTTGATTATAGTTCAAGTTAGAAATCCCCCAAGCAACGACTAAAGTACAATAAAAGCTAATTAGGCTTAGGGGAAAAGGTTTGAGCGCGAGAAGCGTCAGAGGATTCTTCCTCACATCAATAGGAAGTTATATTATACTTTCTCTTTTTAATTAACTTAAGTATTTATTATAATATATTCGGTTATTTGTCTAGTTCAGTAAGCTCGATCATTACGTTTCGGACCATCGATTGGTTAATGAAATACACAAATAATTAGCTAAGAGAATAGCCGCAAACTGTGTCAACATGGCATATTGTTGAACTTGCATTTAGATTAAATTAACTGGAAAGTGAAATCGAAACCAGAAAACAGAAAATGCGCGAATTGGCAACAAGGCGAAAACCAAAGTCAACCTAGTTTTTGGCCGACGCAACAGACGACAACGAATGCAAAGCGAATACATTTGATATGCTATTGGCTGCAAAGGGTGTGTGTGTATGTACGAGTGTGAGTGTGTGAGTTTGTGTTGGAGGCGTGCAACGGGTGAGGGAATTGTATTGGCGCCCTCTGGCGGATTATTGAATTTTCCAACATTTGACTGACACTTGGCGCCTGATGCGCTTCGCTTACCTTTCACGTTGTTGTCCTTGTTGTTGTAGAGCGCTGTGTTGCTAGTGTTGTTGTAGTCGTTGCTGATTTGGATGCGGACGTTTTGAGTTGACTGATATTCCAAAAATGCGTCTTTACATAATTTACAGGTTTTTGTTTTTGGAATAGTGCTGACCGAACAGCGCGACTTTTCTACGATAAACACAAAACTATTCTATATACATATGCATGAATGTGTGTATGTGTACGTGTATGTGTGCACAATGATACATGGAACAACACAATATAGGCTGCGGGCAGCGGCAGCCGCAACGAAATGTATACCCGTTTACTTTTTTCTTTCGTTTTGCCTAAGGGAGACCCACTTTTTTTTTGGCAAATTTGTAGCGAACGCGTGTAACGGTGGCTATTATGCCGCTTTGCACATAAAATCTGGCAACACTTAAGTCTCACTCGCACACTTGACGGCGATTAGGATGGGCTGCTGGGTGACAGTTAAGACGCAATTTTTGTCTTTGGCACCTGATGCAATGCACTGTGCGTGCGTGCGTGTGTGTGTTTTTTGTGTGTATGTGTGTTGTTTTCAATTAAATGTGATTTAATTAATACGGAAATCGGCGACGGCACTGCACACTGGGACGGTCAGCTGCCAAGTTGAGCACTCGACGCGCAACGAACAAATACTGAAGAAACTGGCGATGGATGGCATAAGGAGCAACGGTAAATTTCTTTCGGATTTCGTTGATGCTGCGCGCTCTTTTGCTGCGCATGAACAGTGCTGCCCAGCGCGGCGAATTCGCTTCCGCGTGTCTCAGCTCGCCGTAATTGTGTGTGCGCTCGTGCTTACATGTGTGTGCGTGTCTGTGTATGCGTGTGTCCGAGGAATGCGATAAAAAACGAAACGTTAGAATGAAATGAAAATGTAGCATAATTTATGGCTGCATTGTCTTTTAAATAATTTCACGCACACATTAATATACAAACAGACACACACACATATATACACTAACAAACACTTAGAGGGCAAATTTGTTATTTTTTAAATGGATTTGAATTTGTAGGGCAACCCACCTGCAAACCGTTGTCTCATCTTTATACGGCCGTTAACATATTTCATCTTTTCAAATATATATATTCTTAGCTTTCTTATATAATTTATTGGATTTTTCTCAAAGTTCAAGTGAAGTCATATTTGTCTATATATGTTTAACTCTACAAAGGGATTGTAATTCTAAGCGAATATGAAACATTTCATTATAACATTACTTTTTTATTTGAAGATTAAATTAGTCTAAATTAAAGTTGTATATGTTAAAGCAATCTCAGGGACATATCATATGTAACAATTGCTAAGGATCAGATTGCATTTAAGTACATCATCTAGTATCGAACTTCTATGTAGATGTATATTAATGAACGAGGGATGCACTAAAAATTATTATTTATTCACTTTTTGGCATATTATATATTTATATATTATGTGGAATTAATTAGGGTCGCAACTATAAAAGAGTATACTTAGTTCGTCTTGCGGCTAAAATCAACATATTTCAGTTTCTTTTGTATTTGTCATATTATGATGGATCACATTGAGAAAAGTTTGTCATGCAAGTTAGATAATCGAATAAGCTAATGACGATTATGATGATTATGTTGATGCATTGGCCTTAATATATGTTAACTATAGTTCAACATTATTCAAATTGGAACCGGATGATGAAGGCAAATCCACATCACTGGGCGGCACAAAGGTGCCTTTGGTTTGAACGCCCTCGTGCTTGGCGCTAAGTTTTAACATCTCTGATTTAAGCTTATCAAGAATGGCATAGTTGGGTTGATTAACAGCCGCTTTGCTCTGTAGCACAGTAATCTCCTGTTCCTCAAGTTTTTTCTCCTTAAATGTTTTGATCGAATTGTTGCCATATAAACGCAAAAGCGAGCCCCACGTCTGAATATGTGGATGTAAAATCTATAAAATATAGAAATTGAACACACGTTTATATATTTTATACTCATATATAGGTAAATGGCCTTGATTTTACCTGCAGAATAGCCTGAGATGCCAATTGCTTGCCCTCGCGTTTGTTCTTGCAGACAACCTTCGCCGTATGCTTGCCCACGGTCATGGTGAATTCGTTTTTGTTATTTGCCGTGCGATTGATTTCTTGGGTGATCTGAACATCGCTGCCGTAGTTACGCTGCAAGCACGTCAACAATATGGCGTTGGGTGAGGGCTCTGTGGTCTTATTGCAGAACTCGGTCACTCGTGGATCCTCAATACGAATGTCATCGAATACCTATAAATGAAGAGAGAGAGAGAGAGAGAGAGAGAGAGAGAGATAGAGAGAGAGAGAGAGAGAGAGAGAGAGAGAGAGAGAGAGAAGAGACCCAATTATTAGTTGAATATATATTCTTTCTTCATTGCAAACTCTTACAGATAGATCACTTTGGGGTTTCTTGGCAGTGCCAGTCTTCGAATCCTTATTGTTGCCCGTGATTTTATCCTTAACATCGGGTATGAGTATCTCCAGTGTTTCGCGTGCTGCCTCCGACTTGGCCTGCTTTTTACTGGTACCATATCCGGTTCCATACTTGAGATTATTAACAGAAACGGTTGCTGAATAAGGCGTAGCTGCGTTCTGTAGCTCTTTGAATTCATAAGTGGGTTGTGTCTTTAGGGCATGCTGTACATACTCATGCAGTATGCACACAAAGCTTTTACCATTGGGGTTCATGATCCACTCTTTGCGCCCACGCGTATTTGTACTGCCCTCCGGGCCGCTGGCCGCCAAAATGGGGAACTTGATGAGCTTGGTGCCATCGGGTAGCGTTGGTCGTTGTATATTCTTAATATGCTTCCGATTCTTCGTGAACTTGCGCCGTGCATTCCAACTGCGAAAGCGCAGCACGCGTATCTCCTTGAATCGGAAGAGTTTCTGGCAGTATTTGTTCAGCTCCTCCGGTGTCACCGACTCTTTCTGTGTGTTTTCATTGACGGTAACGATTTTAGCAGCCGGTATAAGCGCCTGGAGAGCTGCAGATGCATTGGCTGCTTGATCAGTTTTTGGCTCCGCAACAGTCTCGTCTTTTTTCTCCTTGTCATCCACTTCCATAGTCTGCTCGGTGCCTGCGTTGCCATGCGCCACTGGACAAACGCCAGTGGGCGATTCGTTACTGTTCTCTGCAGAAGGCTGTGCCGTGTTGTCTGCGCTAGCTGCCCGCTTCGCCTCCGCTTCCTCGTCCAGTGCACGTTGATAGTTCAAACACGGTATGGCACCCAGCGGCACGGCATGCTTGCGTGCACTGCCCGTGCCCAGAAAATATGGCCGCGACGCTGAGCAGACACGCGTCTTGCGGTGAAGAAACAGGGGCATGCCGCTATTATGTGTCACCTGTACCCAGCCCTCGGGCAGCACCTCAAAGTGATTATGGCGCTTCTCTAAAACAATATATACAAAATTAAAGCGGATTAGCTTAATCTAGATATTTATTTTTATTATCTAACCACTTACCTTCCAGCACAGTCTTAAAGCGCTGCTCGTACTTTGGACGCTTCGACTCACGCAGATCGTCTGGCAGCTTTTCATCCAAAAGATTCTCAATTTCCTCGTCGTTGAAATCCGAGGAATCATATTCGTCACCCTCACCATCATCATCGTCGCCGCGCTGCTTGTCGCAGTTATCGTCTGCGGAATGTAAATTATTATTATTTATTTTTATTTCGATCAATTTAAGTGTATAAAATGAAACCTGATCCAAACTTTAGTCTTTCATGATGTTCCAGACGCAAAATGGGTATCATGCGCATCTTTTCAAGCAACGAGTTTAGACTAGTTTCACATGGAGCTGCAGTTGCTAGAGACTTCGGAATGTTTTAAGCAAATGTGCTCGCTCGATAAACATTCATAAAGCGAATCTTGCTGGCAACTACAGTGAATTCATGATCGAGCGAACAGTTTGGAATTAGAGTGCTTAGGGTGAAGCCTCTGTTCTTTATGATAGATTTACACTGTACAAGTGCTTTATCAGCCTCAATGGCATATTATTTACACAATGATAAGCGCTGGTAAGATCAACAGATAAGACATGTAGAAGCTGCTTCTTTCAATTTTATGACTAAACACCATGTGCCCTGGATAGTCGGCAAATATAAGCATCCTCTACATGCAGTAAATCTCTTCGTTTATTCTTATCGCTCACCTGAATCATCATCATCACTGGCAGTGCCCACCTCGTCCAGAACCTGAAACTGTCTAAGCTGTTGATCAATTGGTTCCGAGAGCAGCTCCGCATCACGGGTCTGACGCATCTCCTCAATTGCGCTGAGCGAGAAGCCCGCCACCTTCAGTGCTTGCTCCTCCTCGTCCAGGCGTGGACGCTTGCATGAGGGTTGCGGCCCCATTAGGCCGGTATCTTCGGCTTGCTTCAATTTAGTGTCTGCCATCTGATTTATTGTATGTGCTTAAAATCTATGCTATTTAACTTCAGAGCTTATATCATGTATTTGATTGTTTCGTTTCTTATAGCTGTGTTTGAGCTCTTCTGGCCAATAACCAATATCGAGAACATCCAACGATTTCGAATTGATTTTTCATTGGAGGTGCCACATTGGTTAAGCTAGAAAACTCAATCGTTCGCTTTGTCGTCGAGGGCTCGTCTCCTCTCAGCTCGAATTTCAAACGCACTTCACATCATAAATAGAGCATGCATCAGCATAACACGTTTTCATTTTTCTTTTCATTGTTTTTTTCAGTAATTGTAGTTGTATTTGTTGTTGCAAATTTTGGTAGCCGGCTTCGATCTAGAAGCTGCTTTCGCAATGGATTCTGTGCTGAACAAAAACCAAGGCAAAAGTTGCTTAACCTGGCTCACTATATTTATTTTAATAATTATAGACATTTATATAAGCGTAATAGTTGTACAAAATTAAGTTAGAAAAAGGTATTAAATGCACCAACGACGACCACGACCACGCTCAGACATTTTACCGAATAGGACAGCTGATCAGTAGTAGCGCTGCCACACAGCTAAAATTTCCCAGTAAATTTCCACTCGCTTATCAGAAAGGCGCTTCATGTTCAAAAGTAAACATTTGGAAGCTCGCCAAAATCACTGCCACTGTATCGCAAATTGATATTACTAATCAAACCGTATTCAACATCTTTGCTCTTTTTTATTGAATAATAAACTACAGATAGATTGTAATTGTCGTATTAACCACGCTCAGGCATTGCCAATTTGCAGCCGCTTATAATGTTTGCCAGTGCTGCCAAGTCATTCAAATTCCCTTTAATACCAATTGGAATGTAAACAAATAAATGTATGTGTTTGTATTTTAATCGGCCAGTAACAAAAAATTAAATATATGATTATATTCAACATGTTCCGTGTTAATCAGAATCTGTTATTAATTTGATTCCAATTGGCAGGGCGAATTGTTTGTTGTTTTGCTCGAATTTCCTTTCCAAATGATGAATGCTTTGTGTACCGCTAAGGCGCCAACACTTTCAAAACACACTTCTATGTGATTGCTAAGGACCAAAAAATTGAAAATTTAGTCAAAATAATAAGAATGAATTAGTAAGGAGTACTTACCGAAACAACTTTAATTATGGAATCAGATGATTTGATGAGTTCATTCTGCAAAAATCAATTATGAATCACTAACTAAAATTCGGTGTCATTTACGTTACCTCCCTCATGCCCTCCGTTACGCTAGTTTCATATAGTGCCGCGTAGAAAGGCAAGTTGCGGCAACTAATTGATTGTCTAATTTCCTCCTTCAAATACTGAACAACGAACAATATAAACTCGTCGCCTACTTGATTGCACTGAATAATATACATAGTAGAAAGGAACTTAAGCTGAATAACCAAATGCTTAAAATCAGTCCATCGCAAATGATGGCCAGACGAAATGCTAAGGACACGTAAATTGGGCAACTGTAGTATAACAGAGTTAAGAAAATGATAGCAGGGTCTGTATACGTTCAATAGTTCAAGGGACCGCATTTGGGCAATATACTCCCGGTGTTCTATTGGAACTTCCGTTCCAAGGCGCAAATGGAGCAAAGCATCTGGACGCAGCTGGGCGAATCTCTGGAGCAGCTTACAATTGGGATCGACATAATAATTAATATCCAAGCTTCTTATACATGGCAACAGAACAAGAAACTCATAATTGGGATGAGACTCACAGTCGATCACGAAATTCTCTAATTTCTGCATATGCTTACAGATCTGAATGATAATGCAAGTCACCCTATAATCTATGGATAATATCAAGGATCTTAGATTTTTCAAATAGCAGCACACATTGATCATTTGCTGGGCCTTGCAAATCAGTGGCACTCTGTCCGCCCCTTGCACATCCGAGACAGCCAACATGCGCATCTTAGGGCCATTCAACTTAAAGAATTTTTCCACTTGTGGCGTGGTCCAGGAATGCATGGGTTCGTTCCACGCAAAGCAACGGAAACGCTTACTAAAGGCACAGTCGTAGATGTGCCTAAAGCGAGCACAGGTATTTGCCAGTTTGCACTGATTTATCAAATCCAAGTGCCCGAATATCCTGATCAGGCAGTCGTCAGGCATGTCCAAAATCTGCATAGAGTTCATTTTGAAAGATTTTTTTTATTACTGTACTTAAAAATATATACGTATCAAAATATAAATGTTTTCTCTTCGAAAACTATGTATATTATGAGGAAAAGTTCAACAGATTCAGAGCATACGTGACATTATTTACTTAGTTATTATTAGCTTCATGAATAATAACTTTAAACAACGTCTTTGTTAACCAAAAATATGTAAGAAGGACATGTGAACAATGAATTTCTTTAAAAAATTCTACTACAACTAAGTCTAGTTAAACTTAGTCATTCTTTAACTGAGCTTACAAACTAAATTCACGTAGACAGAGATTTCACTGTAAGACACTTTCGATATCGATGTCCACAGCATTAGCCAAGTCAGTGAAATTTTGTGCATTCTGTTCGTGTCCTTTGGAGCGATAATGAGCAGTTAAATGTGGCCGCCGAAGAAAGGATACTTTGCATATCTCGCAGCTGTAAGAAAAATACGTTTAAATGAATATGTGAACTTCTTTGGCTCAAAGCAAGATGTAGCCTAAAAGAGTTAGAGTGACATCAAAAATTAATAAACCAGCCCGGAAAAAGGACTAAAGTCTTCAACAGGAAAACATCATCTGATGTCTTGTAGCTTTAACTTACGGAAAACTGCGTACGCCGGAATGGCTGAGCATATGCCGCTTGAGCTTGTTGCTAACAGCGAATTCCTTTTCGCATTTGGTGCACTTGTATGGACGATAATTTGTATGTCGACTGTGAATTGTATTTACAAAAATTAAATAAATAAGCACAGGGACGGAGCACATTATTTACACTTACTTTCGCTCGTGCTGAATCCTTCCGCTGTGATCGGCAAAGGTCTGGCCACAGTACTGGCATGGGTAGGGCTTTTCGCAAAGATGCGCCAGCTCGTGGCGCCGTAGTAAGTGTGGGGTATAGAACTTCAAGGGACATTGCTTGCAGCTGAAATTCTTTATGCCAGTATGCCGCAGCAGATGCACCTTGAAATTGCTGGGGCAAGTGAAATGGCGGCCGCACAGCTCGCATATACAATCTCTCCTACGCCGCTCACGCTTGAGCGCGACAATCTCTTCCTCCGACAATTTGCTCCAGTTGATGCGTGGTGTATTCCTTGAATTCGTTGCAAAGTTCACAGTTGCATAGAGCTTGGATGGAGATTTGCCTGGTTTGCGTGCTATGCTGGGTGCTGGAGCGGGAGAATCTACAGTTGATTCTTTATCAATCTCGTTCTGTTGCACATACTCTTCCGCCTGTCCATCATCATTTAATTCACTTTGCTGTTGTATGTCATCATTTTCGAAGGAGGTGTCATTTTCTGTTGGTTCTTCCTGCGTCGTCTCCAGCTCAATATCTTCGGCATCTTCCTCAAGCTCTAGATTTTCCACCGAGTCGATTTTTCTATACGCTTCCTCAATGTTATTGCTGTTGGTCAAGAGCACCTTTTGAGTTCTTATAATGCGCTCTCGAAAGACGATCGCTTCTCGTAAAGCCACTTCGCAGGGTCCACAGATATGTGTCGGAAACTCCATATTTTCGGTTAACTATTACAAATATTGATAAAAAAAAAAAAAAAAAACATATTAACTTTTCACTTGGTATTGATTCAAATTTAATGCTTACAAAAATTCCAGTTAATGCTGCAATCTGATGAAGCATAATATTGTCGGTCTGTTGAAATAAATTCTTCGCGTTCACACAGTAAATAATCTTGCCACAGGTACGACAACGTGCCGACATTTTTCAAATCATTTTCCAAATCAAACGAGTTGTTTACTTATTTTCTTACCATCGCTCGCGTCTTTTGCGGCAATCAGCTGTTTTGGCTCATCATATGGCAACGCTGCAACTATTGTGGTTGCCGATATATTTAAGAAGAGACGATTAAAGCTCAGCTGTTTGGTTTGCATTTCAGTTGCTATTGTTTATTTTTAATTATTCACAAAATTATTCAGATTAGATGCTGGCATTTACAAAATTTAAGCCAATTTTAAAATGCGCTTAAATGAGAACACAAAACTAATTGGCCAGCGCGTTGTGCTGGTGCCCTACGAAGCCCGACATGTGCCCAAATATCACGAGTGGATGAGCAGCCCCACACTACGAAGTCTCACGGCATCCGATGAGTTGACGCTGGAAGAGGAGTACGAAATGCAACGCAGTTGGCGTGAGGACCCTGACAAGCTTACATTCATTGTGCTGTGCGCGGAGACGTATGAGAAGACCAATGATGAGATTGCCTCCATGGTGGGCGATACAAATCTATTTGTACGCCAAGATGACGATGAGCCGCAGAAATACGTTGCCGAGGCTGAGATAATGATAGCTTCATCTGCGGCACGCGGAAAAGGATATGGTCGTGAAGCGATGCTGCTGATGTTCAAATATGCCCAAAAGCACCTGCCACTACGAAAATTCGAAGCCAAGATAGACATGGACAATGCTGTCTCAATGCGCCTATTCGAAAGCTTTCAGTTTAAGGAGGTGCGTCGGGTGGAGGTCTTCCACGAAGTGACGCTCGAGCGGCTCATAACGGACGATTGGCTGTCCTGGCTGGATGCACAGGTGCAGCTGAGAGCTGAGAAATATGTTAATGCTTGACACTATTTATAATTAAGTTTATGCTGTTTATTACATTTATATTACAACTACTTTTTTATGCCTTACACGCCGTCAAGATGTTGCACACTATCTGTGCTCGGGCTGTAGTCGTTGCGTAAGTAATGCTGAATGTCTGTCTGTGTGTGGGTGGGTGGCAGGAAAGACATTACATGACACTTGCCCAAAGTCAGTTATCGAATGTGTATATATATGTGTGTATGTATGTGGGTGTCTGTATGATACATAAAACTAGTTGGCTTAATGTTTGACAGCGATTTTGTTTTGTTTCAATTTTTTATAAAAATTATTATTAAATAATTAAAGGCAAACAGAATTCAAGAATCGTAATTGCAAATCAAAACTAAATATTTCATACCCATTGTTTTCTTTGTTTTGCTTTTCGCTTAACTTGAACCTAACGATAGCTGCTCAAACTTTATGCTTAAAACTAACATTTAGACGTGGTGTGCTGCTTGCTATGAATAATAAATATGCTTGTGTGTGCTTATGGGTGTGTGTTGGTTGTTTGTTTGTTTCTGTGTTGTTGTTGTTGTGTGTGGTCCGATCATTAGGCAGCGGCTCCATCGATGGGCATGGCATGCAGCACCTCATCGAGCAGCTGCAGCGCACGATGCAAATGCACTTCGATCCAGCAGGGTGTCTCCTTAATGGATTGACGTGGATAATCAGGTCCCCAACCCTTCACAAAGCTCAGCCGCAGTATGCACAATCGACGCAGATCATCCACACCGATGCCAGCAGCAGCAGTAATACCTGCAATATAAAAATATATATTTATTTTAAGAGTTAACTAGGAGATGAGGTAAAAACCCACTTCTACCGCCGCCGCCCATTTGTTGATTGGAAACGCCTGCCACGGCGGCCGCTTGTGCTGCCGCAGCAGCCTGTGCATTGGTGGCCAGCGAGTGCATCTGCTGATGGCATTGACGCAAGTCGAACACCTGTTAACAGTTAAATGAGTTACACATTAAAGTTTCATTTAATTAGTTTTAGAATTTACTTTGATGCAGGCAGCTGGGTAGATCTTGTGCACGGCATCGCCCGGCGTGCGACCCGCCTCGCGATCCAAATAATAGCTTTGTACGAACACAGAATTATCGCTAAGACAGCGCAGCCAGACATCGCCCTCTCCGCGCAGATCCAATTGCACTCCCTTGCCTATGTGTAGCCTGCAAATGGATTGTGCATATAAGTAACCAATTTGAGATAATAGAAAAACCAACTATTCACCTGGCCCGCTCGGACTGCTCAGTGCGGTGGACATTGCTGAGAGCGCCAAGACAGAAACGATTGCCTCCAGAGGGATCTACGTAGCCGTCGATGATTACATTGGGCTTGGCTGAGGGCACTTTGAAAGTCTCGCCGACCTGTGTGTCCAGCTCAAAGTAGGCAATGGAGCACCAGTACTCCGGCGCCGGCTGGCGTGACAGCAATCGTGGCTGTTGCTGTTGTTGCTGCTGCTGTTGCTGGGGCGGCGCCTGTTGCGGTGAGGCCAGATCCCCAGGCAACGCCGTACTCCCTAAATATAAATGAACAAATGTTTAGTAAAAGGGAATGAGTTTCAGAGATTCCCCTTCACACTCACAGTAGCTGGCGGGTAGGGAGCGCGGATCAGGCGGCTGCATGGACTGTGTGTAGGTGAGCGTATTGGGTCCCGTCCAGGTGCCTGCTGCTCCACCGGCACCAGCACCACCACTGGCCTGGGCAGCGCCGCCAGCATTTGGCTGATTGCCCGCTGTAGCCTGTTGCTGTGCAGACGGAGGCTGAGATGAGCCGTAGCTATTGGCGCCAGCTCCCTGGCCACTCGGTTGAGGCACATAGCCATTCTGTTGTTGCTGGGCATGCACGGTGGTTGGTCCAGAGCCACTGTTGCCGCTGCTGCTAAATTTACCGACATCGTTGCCCACGCTCTGCATTTGTGCGCCAGCGGGCGGCGCCCCATAGTACTGAGCGGAGCTGCCAGCAGCTCCTCCGGTTGAATTGCTGGCCACATTTGGTACATTGGGTCCGCCACCCGGCGGCGGTTGCTGCTGCTGCATGGCCATCGTGCCTGGATCTGTGGGTGAGCTGGCCTGGGCATGATGCACGCCATTACCTTGTGCGTTCTGTGCTTGTGTGGGCGGGGGTGGGGGCGCCATAACGGGACCGGAGCCAGGATTCATGGCGCTCATGCCCGGCATGCCATGAGGTACGGCTGCAATGCAAACGAATTCCAATTAATTGGCTATCAATGCTCAAGCTTACGCAACTAATTGTGCAGAAAAAATGAACTCAAATTTCAGCAACAACGAAAAACTCTTACAAAGTGCGTGCGTCGCTGGCTGGGATTGGGTCTGTGGCTGCTGCTGTGGCGCCGCCTGCTGCTGCTGTTGCTGCTGCGGCGGTGGCGGATGTCGCAACATCCACGAGCTGCGCACTGGCCCGCCGCTGTCCGTTGGCTCAATTTTTGGTATTGCGCGACCGGCAGCAAACATTGCACTCATTTGATTAGCATCGGTGACTACGAAATTAACGGAAAACGGAAATGAAAATGAAAACAAAATTTAGCAAAATTAAATCGAAAACTAGAAGCAAATTACATAAACCAACAATGTCTACTTGGCTAAATCTTAAGGCCAAATCAGTTATAATATGAGTCTACTATAGTGCCTATCCGTACCGTATTCACCGGGTCCAGGACCCTGTGGCGGATAGCCATAGCCACCCGGACCGACCATCTGCGTGGGATGATGCTGAATTGTACCAATGTCGTTGCCATCAATGTCCATGCTGCCAACGAGAGAGCCGGCTGAGTATTCATCTTTGACCAATCGACTGGGTCCCGACTGCAGGCTCAAGCCGGACAGATCGATGCCCGGCGAGACGACGCGCTCGTAGTGGTAGGGATTCACACAGACTGAATCGCACTTGAGATCGAACGCAAAGGCGCAGTACTTCACATGTTTCAGCTCGTTCTTGTGCAGATCTGGCCAGCGCCAGATGCGCGCATAGATCACATGCGGGAAGCCCTTACGGCCGGCCACCTGTCGTCCAACAAGAGTAAGGAAAGCGTAGAATGGAAGAGAGAAAAGTAAATGAAAATCAAATCGAATGAAATAGTAAACACGTAGACGCGCCGCATATCGCAACCGGAAATGCCACAACGTAAACGAACAAAACACATCAAATGCATTGGAAAGAAGAGCCTGACTTTAAAATACCGTGTTGTTTAACAAAGGGCTGTTAAATATTAACTAAGCTATCTTTGCGGAAATGCTCTATAAAAGAGATCTGATTTCGTATTAGGCAAACGTGATAATTATCAATCAATTAAAAATTAACACTTGACATATGACTAACTTAGCTTTTATAATTTATATATTGGCATATGACTGATATTATCTATATCTTAGGTACACTTTTAATATCATATATTCCCTGATTGGCAACAAACTAAAAACTTCCTTAACTCTCCCATCGGCACATCTGCAATATACCTCTTTTACACATAATTAATGGGTGCAGGGTATAAAAACATATAGACCCCACACATTGCCGGGCGATAAGAGGCGTTACTGAAACTAAAGCTGAAGCTGACGCCGACGCCAGCGTTGACGTTGACGTTGACGCTCACCTGCAGTCGGCCGTCGAGCGTACGCTGTATGGTGACGCATTTGCTTGGATGGGCGCCGTTCGTGGTAATTGCTGTTATCAGCGAATCCAATTCGTCTCGCTTCTCCTTCAGCTTCTTAACGAGCGACTCTATGGCGCGCTTTGCAAAGCCCTCGCTCTCCCCACCCTGCCGATGGCACATTAGCGAATGAACGATGCTCAGGCAGGCATCCGCCGAGGTGGGCGCATTCGACGGCGGTGGCGGCGGCATTTGCACCATATCCCGAACAATTACTGGAGGAACGAGTGGACAAAAGAGAGGGAGAGATCATTTAGTCTTATAGAGAGACATATAATTATAGGCTTGCACTCACTGTCTTGTTGCGCTATGGCGCCATACATATGTGCCGGCGGACCAGCGGCCGGTCCGGCCATGCCAAAGTCCTGGGCAATGCCCAGGCCACCGCGTGCATGTGCATCCACTTCGGCGTTGTTGGTCTCGCCGCCGTCACAAAATCCGTATCCAGCTGATGGCCACAAAGCGAAGCTGTTCGCCGCTAGCGTTGCACACTCACAAAATAAATATCACAAAATAAAATAAAGCGCAGCGCCCAACCGAAACAAAGAGAAGCACGCGAATGTGCGCACAAAACAAACGACAAGTCAGCGAACGGCAGTCTCTCTTCTCTTTCCCCCTCTTCACTGCTAACAAGCAGTTATTGTTATTGTTGTTATTGGTGCTACCGTTGTTGCTGTTGTTGTAACTTTACAACTTGTGCCAAAGAGAGCGCCTTTGGGGGTGTTACGCACACATCGAAAATGATTGCACACACACACACACGCACACACTTAGAGGCGCGCGCTGTTAAACTTGAACTCCCACAAAGCTACCGTAATTATGGCAACAGCAAGGCTTTTCTTGCAGCTAGTTCTTCTTCTTCACTCCCATTCGTTCTGCTCTCCTCTGCTCTTGCCACTTCTTCTATGGCTGAACGTCCGGCAGCAGTAGTAGCAGCAACAGACGCAGACATATACACTCACAATCACTCGGCGAGCGGTGTTTCCTAACTTTTAATTTGGTTTCTATTGCCTTGCACTATTTATAATATATCTTAATTGTAGCGTTTTTAATACTCGACCGTTAAACTGCACTAAATAATTTTCCGCACATCTACGCCAGTTTTCCACCCAATTTGCTTTTCTGTTCTTATGCTCTTTCCAGAGATGGGTGCTATTTATATTTGTAATGGGTACTCGTTACAAGTAGCGAGTGGAAAAATTGGGACATCGCAACAAACGTAAACATAACAAAGCATATGTACATATGAATGTCAACTTAATATTCACATAATACAACATTTTTAATTGGAAATATTTAATGAATATTTAAATGAATATGTAAACAAATTAGTGTATTTCTATTAATCCTTAAATATCAAAGTTAAAACCTATTGACGATAGTGCCATCTCAAGGGTACAGTAGAGAATAATGCACATCTCTATCACTTGTTGGCTAGCGCAGCCCTGGTTTCACAATCTGCCATTTGCTATTTGAGTGAAACAGACAATAATTTGTTTTGTTGATAAAAAAAAATGAGCACGCCTGCAAAAAGCACTGGCACCGGACTGGAGGATGTTAATATACCCGGCCAGGCGTTTCTACGTGAAGCGCTCACCTCATGCACGGATCCACTGAAAGCTATCGAGAGCTTTCAACTCGAAAACGGTGTTTTGCTGCCTTCTCTGCGTCCGATGTTACCTTTACTGGATTTGCATGGTGTGCGACGTCTGGACTTCCATACTTCGCTTATGGAGGAGTTGCGTGACAAACTAATCGCGCACATTAACGAGCTGGGTCAGAAGGATCCACGCGAGCGCGAAAAGAAACTAAAGGACCTGTTGGTCAAGAGTTTTCCCGTGGTGCGTGTCAAGCATTTGCGTCCTGTTGTGATGGCCATACTGCGAAATACCCAGCACATTGATGACAAGTACTTGCGCGTCCTCATGCGTGATCGCGAGCTCTATGCGGATACAGACACAGAAGTCAAGCGGCAAATATGGCGCGATAACCAATCTCTTTTTGGTGACGAGGTGTCTCCACTGCTATCGCAATATATTCGCGAAAAGGAGCACATTCTCTTTGATCACACCAATCTGAATAACTTGTTCTTCCAGCCCACACCGAAGGTTCGTCGGCAGGGCGAGGTAGTCCAGAAGCTGGCCAACATGATTGGAAATAGCGTTAAGCTCTACGATATGGTACTCCAGTTTCTGCGCACTCTCTTCTTGCGCACACGCAATGTCCATTATTGCACGCTCCGGGCAGAGCTGTTGATGGCACTGCACGATCTGGAGGTGCAGGAGATCATATCGATTGATCCGTGCCACAAGTTTACATGGTGCCTAGACGCTTGCATTCGGGAGAAGAATGTTGACATTAAACGCTCGAGGGAACTTCAGGGATTTCTGGATAACATTAAGCGCGGACAAGAGCAGGTGCTTGGCGATCTCTCGATGACACTGTGTGATCCGTATGCCATTAATTTTTTGGCCACCTCGGCAATCAAGATTCTGAATCACCTGATCAACAATGAGGGCATGCCGCGAGACAATCAAATTTTGATACTATTGCTGCGCATGTTGGCATTGGGGTTGAGTGCCTGGTTCATGATCGATACCCAGGACTTTAAGGAGCCGAAGCTCGATAACCAGGTGGTGACCAAGTTTCTACCTGCCCTGATGTCTCTCATGGTGGACGATCAGTGCCGAAGCCTGCACGCCAAACTTCCGCCCGATGAGCGCGAATCCGCATTGACGACCATTGAGCACTCTGGCCCGGCGCCAGACGCCGTAGAGGCCTACATCCAGGAGAGCTCGGTGGCCAGTATTTTGGCCATGTACTATACGCTGCACACGGCCCGCGTCAAGGATCGCGTCGGCCTGTTGCGTGTTCTGGCCATACTGTCGTCCTGCAAGGACTATCGTGCCTATGAGGATCCCTTCCTCCATTCGCTGATTGCTCTGCTCATACCTATGAGCGAGGAGTTTGCCACCGAAGACTTTTGCACCACACTCTTCGATGAGTTCATTTTCGCGGGTCTAACGCGCGAGAACGTCACCTCCAGGCACATGATGAAGCTGCTCTGGTACATCTACAATAAGTTGCCCGCTGGCCGCCTCGCGACACTGATGAAGGCCATGCAGCCAACGACGGCACACAATGAGCACATCCACAAACTCTACGAGACACTACAGGAGCGCATTGGCACGGCCGTGGCACCAGATACCGCCACGCCCACAGTACTTGATCAGCCGCCCCCTGACTACGATTCGCCTTTGAAGAGCGTGCCCACACCAGGACCACATTATAGCACACAATAGACTACGTAGAGTATCAATTATATAAATAGGCGTAGTTATAAAGCTCTGAGCTAGTCTTGTCTACAAGCATACATAGACATATGTCATATATATATATGCATATGTATGCTAACTGCATAAGTTGTCTGAAAACAGTTTCATATTTGTTTAGTGCATAGAGCAATTCGATCAGCTTTTTACAGTTTGTTCTTTGTTTATAGAGAGCATAGCTAATCTAAACATATACTTATTAAATTTTTTCAGATATATTGTCATTTCGTTAGATCAATGTTATCAGATCTATTGATTATTGTTTGGTTAAGTTTTATATTTTCATTAAAAATTATACAAATATGTATATTTAAATTCCGATAATACAATTTGCTATTATATATCATATAAGTATCTTCATTCAGTTTTGTATTTTTAGAGTTCTTTGGAAAAAGAACAACTCACAGTGTCGAGCTTCTTAATTCCAAAAAAAAGACTAAATATCCATAAGATTGACTAAAAATATTTGATAGCTTCTAGAGAATAGAATACATTAGATAAATTTTTTCTTGAAATAAATACTTTGTTTGCATTTATGGTTCAGAGTATCATTATGTTCTAGAAAACATGTAAAAGTACTCCTTTTTTAAATACTTAAAAATTCAAACTTTGGCTGCAACATCCAAAGCATTTTTGATATCATCGATTAAATCCTCGGCATCCTCCAGACCCACCGAGAGGCGTATCAAAGCGTCCGAAATGCCCAAAGCTTTACGATCCTCTGCAGGCACTGAGGCATGCGTCATGATGGAGGGCAGCTCGGCTAGACTCTCATAGCCACCCAGGCTTTCGGCCAACGAAAAGAGTTTCAGAGCTTTCAGAAAGGCACTCGATTGCGGTAAGTCGCCTTTGATGTAGAAAGAGAAGACGCCGCTGTAGCCATACGTCTGAGCCAGGGCCAATTGATGCTGCGGATGCGAGGGCAGACCAGGATGTAGAACCTTCTCCACGAAATCATGTGACTCCAGAAACTTGGCCACCTTGAGTGCATTCGCTTGATGTTGTTCCATGCGCAGCGATAAGGTTTTTAAACTGCGATTCACCTGATAACAATCAAAGGGCGATGGTACAATGCCCAATGAATTTTGTAAAAATTTCAGTCTGTCATAGAGCTTATCGCAATTCATTGTGATACCGCCCATAACGACGTCTGTGTGGCCGTTCATGTATTTGGTCAGGGAATAGCAGACGAGATCGGCGCCTAGCTCGAGCGGCCGCTGGAAGTAGGAGGTGAGAAAGGTGTTATCCACGGCAACAATCACATCTTTGCAAGATTCCCGACTGATCTGCACCAGAGCCTTAATGTCCCCGACTTTTAGCAGCGGATTTGTTGGCGATTCCAGCCAAACGAGCTTTGTTTCCGGTTTGAAAGCGGCACGAAAACTTTCCAAATTTGTGGCATCCACAAATGTGGCCGTTAGACCAAGGCGCGTTGCCACCTGGCGGATTAAGCGATTTGTACCGCCATAGACATCGTCGCCCATCACTATGTGATCGCCACGGCTGAGCATGGTCAGCACAGCGGTCGTGGCGCCCAGGCCAGAGGAGAAGACCAAACCATACCTGGCATTATCCAGCGCTGCCATACACTGCTGCAGGACATTCCGCGTGGGGTTGCCACCACGCGAATAAATATAACCTCGATTTTGTCCTGGCGCATCCTGTTTGAAATTCGTGCTCATTGTTATGGGCGGTATCACACAGGCGCTGTTCCACTGCTCTGGATCCTGGCCAACGTGTATGGCCTTAGTGGCGAAGCCTTTTGGTTGTTCTTTGAAACCCATTTTTATCAGATATAAAATTTAATACAGCCGCAACACCTTGACATTCAGTGCGTCAATGACAAGTAAATTGTTAGATTATCTATTTATAGAAAAAAATACCATAAATAATACTAACAGTGGCTTTTAACATTAAATCCCGGGGATGACAAATAAATCTATTGTGGTTTATACCATCAGCCAATATTTAGATATATGAAATTCGGAATTCCAGTATTCATATGAACAGCGATTAATGGCTCACTCACTCGAAACTGGTTCCGAAGAACCGAATTGCCAACCAAGGCACTTGCCAGCCCTTGAACAGCTCATTTCATTTAGATATTTACATATATTTGGTCGTGTCGCAGTTCAGAAAAAAAAAGACAAATACTGATTAAAACGCAGAGGCATCCGGGTAAGTTATTAAAAAAAATAATTAAGAATACTAATATTACCAATTAAAAATTGTGTAACAATGCCAAAACGACTTTGTTAGCGTTAAAGTAACTGAGCTAGCCGAGTGCCTTACGCCACGCGTTTCTTCCAATAAGATTCTATGTGTATGTGTGTGTGTGTATAGGTCTGTGACGAAATCTTGAATAAAAGGTTATTTATATTGCTTTCTTCATTTCATTGAGTTCTTGTTGAAATTACAATTTAAAAAATAATAATAGTTTGTCAGATTACAGCAGTGCATTCAATAATGCTATGAATATGGCGAATAAAGCTTGTTACTGCAAGTTTCTGGAACCACCTATACATAAGCAAACATATTTGTGCTTGTATGTGTGCGTGAGTAAGTGTAAGTGAATAGCGAAATTGCTTCTCCCCGCCTCCACGGGTTCATTCACTAAATTGCATAGCAACAGTTAAAAAATAGAAACAGATTTTTACTATTTGGTGAAAATTTATACTATGCGTAATAGTAAACATAAATATGAGATGAAATATGAATTCGAAATTACTAGGTGAAAAATTGATTATAAAATATAAAATGATCCATGAGAAGTATTATAGATTTAATAATTTCGAACGTTGGTGAAATACATACATGATAGGACAAATATATGTACATAAGAGACTTTAATATACTTATTCTATTTATTCTCAATTTGCTACTCATGCAATTTTACTATAATTTAAAAAGGGCCGCGCATTTAAAAGCTGCCACCTTATGGATATTTTGCAGAAATGCCACCAAAAATCTAGCATCTAACAAGTGGCGACTCATTTTTCTAAAAAGAACAAATTTTACTCAAATTTGCAGTATTTAAATACTGCACTGAATGTTTCTCAACACGTACAGATCTCTTGGGCAAAAGCAGTGCAGCACGAGTGAGCAACTTTTGTTCACTCTTTCCAACAAGTCGTTTTCGTAGCAACATGAGTGAGGCAACATTTGAGTGAGTGAGGCAACATGTCCATTGGCTGCCAATGTATGTTTTTTCCCCTGTTTGATGCCTCAGTTTACATTTGGAAGCAACAAAGCAAAGTACCGTTTGGACTGTAATTGAGCGTGTGCGTGTGTGATTGTATTTGAATGTGTGTGTGAGATTTTGCATTAAAAAAAAAAATTGTGTTATAATTTGAATTTTAATTTAAGTACTTGCAAGACCAAATGTATATTTAACATAAATTAAGTAAAGTAACGTAGTACACAAAAACAGAATTACGATGTGCAGCTGATGGGAAAAAACCTACCACTCTTAAATTAGTGCGTGGGAAAAATCGATCCACAAACTGTTTGCAAAGAACATGAAAAATGTTGGCTTAACCGATAAACTATGACAAAAACAAGTTCACTGTGATACATTTTTGCAGTACAAATTAGTTAACAACAAAACACTTAGTATAGTTCAAAAGAACCAACTTTCAACTATACACCTATTTTTCGAGTGCAATAATAAAATTTTCGCCAAGATTCTCAACTAACTCATCTCGAAACATTCCTGCGCAACATAAAACAACAAAATGGCTGTAAAAACGTAAGCATAACTATTGTTAAAAAATAAAAAAAGAGAAATTACAACAATTTCATTGCGTTAAATCACAAAAAGGCCCAGTTTGTGTGTTCCTTGTCAATTGTTTTTTTTTATTGTAAATGTATATACATACATACATATACACAGTAACAATTGAGTATGCATTAAATTGAATGCAAAGCTGATATGAAAAAAAATATTGTAGAAACAATTTACGTGTTTGTTTCAACTCTCAATTCGTCTCCCAGCTGTTCGAGCATAAGAGTATCTACATAAATGCATGTGTATGTGTGAGTGGGGTACAGTGGAGCTGCTATTCATAGGCCCATTGTGAGAGAGACAAAGAGAAACTGTGCTGGTATCCCAATAGTACAGTTATCCAATCAATACGCACAACATTTATATTAAACAATTTAATTATTGAAATACCTTCAATGCATTTTTATTTAATTTCATATTGTGTGTGTTTTGTGTGCAATTGTATTATTAATGGTGTTTTATTGTTGCGACGCACTGGCTGAGATAGATCCAACCAGTGGAAGTGTTTCAATTCCATAATGTACCATTGCTCCTCTCTGGCTCTCTCAACTTATACACTCGCAGTGCGCAAACAAAGAGTTTGTTGTGTGTGTGCGTTATGTTCGTGTTCCCATTTGGGTTTTTGCTTTGTATTCTTACACCAATACCAGTGCATAAGATTTGAATGTGTTAGTGCAAGCTCGAAAATTGCGTCAGCCAATTGAAAAATTTATTTATACTTGCGCATATTTACATGCCCCAAAATGTTAGCTAGGCTTTTAACTCGTTTCCTTTTTTTTTTTTTTTTAACTTAGCATAACTTATAGAAAAACTTCAACTGTCTTAGTTTTCGGACTTTGCTTATATTGATTTCTGTCTCGCTCTCGCTCTCTCTTTGCTTGATTTCACCTTCAGCATTTTTTTCTTTCAGTTTTCGCTTTCTGGGTCATATTTGTTGATTTCAATTTGCTGGTGGCGTCGCAGCAAACATATTTTATTTTATATACTATATTTTACATATACATTTTCGTTTTAGCCATGAACAAATAACCTTCGTAAGGGCTCCCACACATGTGTATAATTTGTATCGATCTGAGAGTGTATAAGTCTTGTGTTTGTGTGGGAGATGCTTGGCTGCATACGTACCGTTGCTTTGCTTATCCCTTCATTTACCTATGCCCCTCCTATTATATTTTCAACATACCTTTGCTTTGTCTAGCGTCTTTAGCGTCTTTTTTGTTGACTTCGAGGCGTTGGCGCGCATTTCGTTTGTTTTTTCATTGTTGCGTCTTAACATCGTTTGATTTGTAGCTTCCTCGGCCATTTACTATGTATGTATGATTGTGTGTGTTTTACTGTTGTTAGATAGGGGCATTGAGCGAGAGCATGCAGAGATGCAGAGAGAGAGAGAGAGTTGCCATCTTGATCTTGACTGCGGTTAGCCGCCCCTTAAATAGCCCGTAATTCCGTCTCTGTTAAAAAAAAAAAAAAATTTCACTTGTATTGCTGCACAGTTATGTCTTGTATCCAACATGTATCTTCGGTTACTAATCAAGATATATATTTGTTGACAATATCTCGTTACTCGCCAGGCAAATTTTGACAAAACTTTCGTCGCGACAGTCTCAAGTGAAACTTGAGTCTACAACCAAAAAAAAAAAAAAAAAAAAAAAAAAGAGTATAAAAAAAAACTGTATTGAACAGCTGTTGTCATGTAGGAATACACAGTGACGCATATTTTTATACATACATATATAAAAAATAAGCTGACCTTTGCTTCTTATCTATGCAGTACCACTGTGCAGCGTAAATGAGCTCAATAAGCATTTCAGAATGCGCACAACGAAAGTTAATTTATAGAGCTTCCAGTTCAAATAGGCTTTTCAACCCCTCCATCATATTCACATCCATATATAGGTAATTCAAGTTGCCTCTGGCAACAATGAGTGTCAACTCGTGCCAAGCAAAAAAAAAAAAAAACACAACTTTGTTCGGACCACCCCTTTTTCAATTGTTGCTGCCTGTTAGTTGTATTTTCCTTTTTTTCATGTTGGGTTTTCTATTGATGTCGTTTTTCTAATTCAATTGAAAGGTGCTGAGGCATTCCGGGGCAGCTGTTAGCCCGGCCCTGGCAGCTGCCTTTAAATCGTTGCAACGACTTATCGTTCTGAGAATGGAATGGCAACTGGAACTGGAACTGATACTGGTTCCACTTATTGCAATATGTCAATGCTGTGGGCGGGCGGGATAAGTTCGAATTGTTTTTATCTCATGGTAGTACTACAGTACTACAAGAAACCCATCCGACATGAAACATTGTGGAATGTTTTTGAATTGGACGTCATATTCAATAACATTCTGTGATTTGACCCTAGTTCAATAACCTATAACAAGTGTCCAACTGTGCTTTCAGTACACATCATTTCAATATATCTTCAATAACAATTTACAGCTTGCGATAATAATGTATCTTATTGTTACATCCGCTGTACGTTTTCCTCTATCTAATGGAGTTAACAACTTGATAAACATACATATGAATATATATGTATTCCGAGCCCACTTATCAGTTCCTGTAATTTTTCCTCTTTGTTTCCAATCTATTTCGGGTACAAAGTGCGGACATGTTTGTCCAGTAAGGGCTTATCTAGACAAGTCCAAAAAAGACCACTAAACCAATTACCTCTAAAATTGAATACAGTTCGCGATTGTAATGACAATTGCAATGAACGAAAATTCCTCAATGCATTTCTCGTTTCGCTCGTCGATAATGAAAACTAATTTAAGGCATTGAAATCGCGCGATAATAGAAATGTAAATATATGTATTCGTGTATACGTCCGCTCTATTTTAGTGAGTCGAGTCCATTGACAGATTGTCGAGACAGGCCGCAGACATATGCACATTTAAAGTACAGGCATACGCAGATAGTGAACATAGTTCCGCTGGGATCGAACTAGCGTCAGACAAAGTTCAATGCTTGAACTGAACTTGCAAACGGAACACGAAGCTAGACGCGTGATTCGGAATCACGATTTTAGTTCAGCTGCACGCAAAGTGATAGAATAATTTTATACGTAACGAAATTCTGGCTTTCTTATTTGTTTAGTCTTTTCTTTCTACTTCTTTTATATACAAACGATGCGTACAGCAATTTTAGCACTGCCTAAATAAAAAGTAAAACAATAGTGCTTCCATTCCATTCCATGGTAATGCAATAATTTATCTCGCAGCGCATGCCACAGGACAGCTGCTGCGCCTGCGCCCTGTCAGCGGGCAGCATTTGATGTTTCCGCTTTGTCTGCCACTTCGCACTGTACGCTATAAATATTTACATATATGTGTGTGTGTGCGTGTGTGTGTACAGCTGTTTCTTTGGATGTATGCGCTTGGGGTTGAAAACCAAATTTGGACGTCGCGACGTCGTCTGTGTGGCTTCCTGGTTGGGCAGCTTTGGCTTTGGTGGTGGTTGGGGTAACGGACACCCTGGTTGACAGCCCTTAACGGTTCAGTGCGCAATTCTATTTGTTAATTTCATCAAAGTTAAAGTCGCCAGTGGAACGTGTTGGTTATTTTAAGCTCAGCAAAGGGGTTGGTCACTTATTAAAAGCAGAAGGAATGCTGGCATTGGCACATGTCGCGGATAAAACCAATTCACGCAGGGTGGCAACTCCAACTGTTGTGTACCTGTTTGGCGTCACGTATGACGCGTACCGACGGCCCTGTATGCAACGTGATGCAAGCAGCAAAGCAGAAATTTCCCGAGCTGCTGTTGTTTGTTGTTGATGCAACTGCTCGCTGTCTGTTTGCTTGCACTCAAAAGCTCTATAGGTCTCCTTTTTATTTATTTTAATGTTTGTACATTTTGAACAGTAGCTCCAAGTGTCTTGTCATTTGTTGACCTTCAGTAGCTTTAAATACGCAGTCCAACATCAATTAAGCGCTGATAAATGAATAAACCGTTCGACAAAATGAAAAAGCATAAAAGCAAAAAATACAAAAGTACTGCTGAATAATAGAGGGCATCTCGCTCGTGCAGGTGTTTTTTGACACTATGCACGTCCCTATCGCACTTGCGTGCATCTGCGTTCGCGTCTGTTTATTAAACAGCTTCACAAAACAAAAGCAACAAAATAATGGAAAACATTTTGCAAGCTCTTAACTAGCATTTGTTTTGGTTTAATGCACTTTACCTCAAGCAAATAGAGAATATATGAACACAAACGCAGACATAATTCACTTTCGTTTTGAAGCACTTAATGTATGTGGATACACATACAAATATATTTATGTATAAGATCAGCAGTGTTTCACTCTCCTTGCCTGGCTGCCTCTCTCTCACTCTGTGATGATTACCTTTTTCTTTTAGTTAAAGGTTGTTGTCTGTGCTTACTGAGCAGAAACAGTAAACGCTTTTTTTTATATGTATGTACTTACATACATAAGTTCCAATATATGTATTTTCATATTTCACACCTGAGCAGGCCCAACCACACCCCCCAACTAGCATTCGTCTTCGTTTAACTCGCGTATTTTAGTTACGAAAATAGGCAAAAAGTGAAATTTTTTTACAAACTCGTAAATGTTGGCCAAGTTGTTCGAGCAGTTAATAACAATAACAACAAGTAGCAGCAACAGCCTAGGTAAAGCTCATATAAAAATAAAAACAACTACACGCATACACATAAATGCAAACAGACGTGTACACACATACATATAGCTGTAAACGTGTGTATGTGCGGTATGTATGTGTATGAGTATGTATGTGTACGTGCTTTGCGTCAGCGGCACCCGTAACAGATTTTGTTTTTCGTTGACCAAAAGATCAACAACAAAATACACATAGACGAAACACTAAAACCAAAAACTAAAAAAATAATAATTCAATTTAGAAATCATCGAATCGAATTCCGAAATATGGTACAAACCGATATTTACATATGTATGTATGTATGTGTGTAAATAATTATAAAAGTATGAGCCTTGAATATGATCAACAGAGAACATTTGATATCTCTCACTCGCACTCATTTGTGAGAACGCAGGGAGGCCAGCCTAATCCAAATAAGCATAACCAGCAATGCACACACACACAGCTCGCATAAGATGAGACAAAGCTCAAGCTTTAGTTCTCTGATCTGCTGCCTCTTTTACACTGTTACGCTTTGTATGCAGCTTTTTATGCCCATCAGAGCGTCAAGCTGAACTTTGACTTGATGCCGTTAGTTTGTTGCTTTGGGGCTTAGTGCAGGGCTGCATCGTCATGTTTATGACTATCGAAAACTTGTTTCTGAGTTGGGCGACCTTGAATTGAAGCACTTGTTGATCCATAGCGAGTGGGTTTATTATTGTGTTTGGTGGACGGAAGTAAAAAAGAGCGTGAGTTGTATGTTTTCGTCAACTGTTGATGTTTTTATATTATTATTATTGTTGTTTTTTTTTTCTTCTTTTTTTTTTATAAATTCTGCAAATGCGTCAGATATGTGGATATTGTGCCCTCATCAGTTTGGTTGGTCTGATTCACATTCGAAATATGATTAAGGTGCGGTCAGTTTCTTAGGGGAAAGTTCAGTCGTATGGATCATCGCATTCTGAATTGTATATTGTATACCTGATTCATTGGTCGTTTCAAAACGAGTTAAAATTAATTCGAACTTGAATTATTACTCATTAGGGTATTTTTAACTCAGTTATGTTTAGCCTTCTGAAAACGGGGTCTTAAGCTGCTAGCCATGGCCAGGTTAATGACAACTGTTTTGAAACACACTGTTCACACTTGTGATCGGGTTTTCATTTTTAATTTCGTTTCTTTTTCTTCTCTGAGCTGTATGTTTACAATTGATATTCCCTTTCAACTATAAATACCAAACAGTTTTTCTTAGCACCATTTCCCGCAGCTACTTACAATATTTCATACGTCAATTGCCTCTGCAGCAATGGCAGCTATTTTCCACAATGCCATAAACATTTATCTCACACTTTCAAGTAGCTCCGCTCCACTCGTCTGCACAGCTTCAAATTTCGAAACTGTGTTTGTTAGTTTGTTAGTTTTTATGTCATTTATCATTTGCTTCTGTGTTTGGATTATTTAATGTTTTGTTTTCGCTTCCTCCATGTCAATTGCTAGCCCATGAGCATTAGAGAAAGCTTGCCCAGCCCTGGCACATTTGCTATTGCTGTTATCTCTCAATCCCAGCGTATCCGATTCTGTGTGTTGCTCTTATGCGTGTGCGTGTGTGTGTGTGTGTGTGTGTGTCGATTTCATATTATTAGCTGTAAGGCGAACGCTGAATTGGAACAAGATGGCGGCCACTTTGTTTACTCAAGTGTGCGCAGTGAGCTTTTGTATTGAGTTCTTTGTTTTTGCTTTCTTCATTTGCAATAGGAAATCAATCAATGTTGAGGACTTAGGGAAGTCAATATATTTTTGTCTCGAATTCTTAGACATTCTGCATAAATATGTGATATTTCCCAGACTATTTATATGTGGTTTGCCTTGAGACAGAAATCACGCCCAGCCCACCCCACTTGCAGCCTTGTTACGTTGTGTGATTTGAATAAAAATGTAAGCAATTTGATGTGAGGTCAGGCAAACATATATAAAATGTATTCCAATGTCAAAATTGCTTGCCACACTGTGCACTCGACTTTTATGCTCAGTTTATAACGCTCAAAGTTCGTTCAACGCATTGTAAATAATTCAATATATATTGTATGTATATAAACAAAAAATGAAACGCAACAAGAGCAATGCTCTTTGCCAAAATAACAATAACAATAATATTTCAATTCAGTTTAATTTGACATCAATGTACCTCATTTGACATTTAGCATTTATACAGTAATAAAAATTGTATATTTTATTATTTAAATATTTATTTATTTATTTATTGATTTATTTGACCTAACAATTAATAAATATGCTTGCATAATTTTGCAGCGTGTAAGTTTTTACATATTTTAGCTAAAAGAGAATTTTTCGAAAGAAATTCAAAGCATCTACAAAATCAGTTCCACTACGAACTGAATACACTGCAAACAATTTCAGCGTCTAGCGTTTATTATCGTACCAAGCATTGAGCGAACACATAATAAACCACATTGATGCTAGAAATTATATAATTTATATATTTATATATTATTTAATTAAATATTGTTTCACAAAAGAAGATAAAGACAATTTGTACACATTGACTGACTGATAGACAAGAAATCTAGATTGTCTTTCGTTATTGTCATTTGTACACTAAACACAATTGTCACGCTATATACATATGATATATTTGTTTCAATATATGTATATATTGCATTGTTGAGGGCGTTTTGTTTGTTAACTGTTTGCAAATTGTTGAAAGAATTGCATTAAGGTTTTTGTTCGGCTATTAACAGAGCTATCAATATATACAGTAATCTATATATATATTTGGATTTCGGCTCTGGGCTACTTGAACCGGTGTATGCAGCACAAGTAGCAAACAGTTTATTTTATTTTCGGTTGCATTTGCGCTACCAGTGGATTATAATAATATAGTTGCTATATAAAGAGGATATAGATATCTATATAGTCCCTGAAGCGCTGCATTTCTAGTCTTGAATTTCGAGCTGCAGATTGAGAGAGCATTTAGTTGTTTTTCTGAGTGCACTCGTTGATATACTGCAAAAAAAAAAAATAATAATAATTAATTGGGCTTGAAATTCAATTGCGTGGGCTTTTTGCTGAAAATAAAATCATATCAAACAAGTTGATCAAGGGACACATTTATATATATAAATCATACATATATTTGGCCTTAACGCAAAGAGATTTTTGTATCTTTTTGCTGTTTTATTATACAAAACAACAACAACAACAAAAACAAACCTTGCCATATACAGGTACTAGGCCAGCCCTCACAATGTCTGTCCCTGTACGCTACTCTGCTGCCGCCGAATACGCCGTCGTTGATAGTGGTTTGGATAATACTCTAACCCAAGAAGAGCAATACCACCAACAACAACAGCAACTGCACCTGCACCAGCAACAGCTCGAGCACCAGCAACTGCAATACGCGCAATACCAACAGCAGCAACAGCAGGAGGAAGAGGAGGCTCTATTGTATTGCCAATTGCAGCAACAGCTGGAGGCAGAGCAGCAGGCGCTGGCGTTGCGGCAGCAGCAGGAGCAGTTGATGCAGCAGCGGTCATCGATGTTGATGTCCTCAACGGTTATGCCATCACTTGATTTGCCCCACAACAACAACCACAACATCACCAACAACAATAGCAACCACAACATCAACAACAACAACATGGATGCAGTTAGCATCAATGCAATCCTGGTCGATGATGAACAACCATCCACATCGGCTCAGGCAGCGGCGGCTATTTTGAGGGGCGAATCAATTAATGGTGATGGCATGAACTTGGTGGATCATAATACAGAGATGCCAACTGATTGGATGAGGATTGCGGACGAGGGCCGGTATGGGACACCGGGTGCTGCTGGCTTGGAATATCAGAAGTACGAACAACAACAACAGCAAACACTGGAAACAGAAGCAGCAGCTGGACAAGGAGCTGGAGCTGGAGCAGGAGCTGGAGCAGCAGAGCCCACAGCGCTCAAAATCCTAGAGGATCAATTACATGCGCTCAGTTCGGATGAGCTGTACGAGACCCTGAAGGAGTACGATGCACTGCAGGATAAATACCATACAGTACTGTTGCTTCCCAAGGAGTCGAGGGTAAGTTAATAACACTGGTGATAAGATAATCTAAGACTGAATCAATGACTAACAGAGTGACTGACTGATTGACTGGGAAGTCCGATTGATTGCATGATAAACATTGATTGAACTCTTTGGGAATGGCTCAAATTATCTGACTGACTAACAGACCAACTATATTTGACCGCATTGCCAATCTAATCTTATATAGAATATATGGAACATCATTTATATATTGACATCCCATTATATCAATATCATCTATATTTATCATTCCCTATATATTTACAGCGTGAGGTGACTGCCGGCGGACGTGATGGATCGGCGTATGTGCTGCGTTGTCTGAAGATGTGGTACGAGCTGCCATCGGATGTGCTGTTCTCGGCGATGAGCCTGGTGGATCGTTTTCTCGATCGCATGGCTGTTAAGCCTAAGCATATGGCCTGCATGAGCGTTGCCTCCTTCCATTTGGCCATTAAGCAGCTGGACTTGAAGCCCATACCAGCCGAAGATTTGGTTACAATATCTCAGGTATGTCACACATTCACGCACACTCGCACACATTAGGGTAAATGCCATTGTCTAACATTCTGAATTGTTACAGTGTGGTTGTACCGCTGGCGATCTGGAACGCATGGCCGGCGTCATTGCCAACAAACTGGGCGTACAGATGGGGCATGCCCCGATCACATCCGTTAGCTACCTGCGCATCTATTACGCACTCTTCCGCAATTTGGCTAAGCAAATTGGTGGGGATTTCTTTAAGTTCTATCAGCAACTCATTAAATTGGAGGAACTGGAGAATCGCTTGGAGATCTTACTGTGCGATGTCAAGACGACCGTGATAACGCCAGCGACATTGGCTCTAGTGCTCATCTGCCTGCATCTGGATTTCCACATTAAGGAGTCGTACACACGCGGCAGTCCCGAACTGAAGCATGTCTTTGAGTACATACTCTATCTGCAGGAGTACATGAGGGTATGTTTGATAAAGATGATGAATACAAATACAGAAAGTTATAAATCATTTATATATATTGCAGATACCCGATCGCGTTTTTACCTGCGGCTTTAGCATTGTCTCGGGCATTCTGTCCCATTACAATGGACAGAATAAGGCGCCCTACAAGCAGCGGCTTGTCTGGAAATTATCCAGTCGCACGCTGCGCGTCCTGCGCCCGATCAATCGTTTCTCATCCGATTTGCCCACCATTGAGGAGGGCATATCGAATGCTCTAGACGATGGCCTGCGTTCAAGGTAAGTGAAATCAAAAGAAATAGATCTTTATATAATCAATATAGAAAGTTTTGATATGTAAAAGAGCATAGCTAGGCAGGGTATAAATCCTAGTGTTCTTTAGATAACAGACCTATTGTTTTCTAGAACATTTCTGTTTCTGTCTAGCTGAAAAGGTCCGTTAGTTATTTTTAGCACTATTATTGTGTAGTCTTTGGACTAATTTGTATGTAAGCGAACGAGTATGTGCTGAGTTGTGTTTTTTGTTTTTGGTTTTTCGCGTAAACAAGTTTTTAGAATTGACGCGATTTTATTATCACAACAACAAACACCAAACACCAGCAAAACAACAAACAACAACAATACGCATTGAAAATATAAAAATCATGAGACCCATTGGCTGGTTTTGCGTGGCCCCCGCTCTGCCCCCTGCCCATGCCCATGCTCAACTTGTCGCATTTGCCAAAAGTGGTTCGACGAGCAGCAGCAGCAGCAGCAACACCTACAGCTAGACAGCCAGACATACATATGTATGCATAAATGTCCAAATAGATGTGCACACATATGCATACATGCGCACATAGTTATATGACTGTTAATGCGACTGTGTGTGTGTGCCTGTTATTTTTTCGACAACAATCTTATCAGAGAGGCACGCCAACCAGGCGCGTGTGAGCGAGAGAGGGGGAGGGAGAGTGAACTGAACGAGGGTCGCTGTTAAAATTGAGAAAAACAAATGTGAAATTCGCCACACATATCTAGAATTCGCTATGCCACTGTGGAATTCGCCGCGATGTGCGTCAATTGCTGGGCGGTGCGACGTGGGCGTCAAACCATCGATTTCTTTCGCCTTACATAAGTTTCTCTATGCCATTTGAAGACCTTGACATTTCATGCGCTAAGTGCAGCATATTGAACATATTGAAAACGACAGCTACCGTAGAATATGATAAACAAAATTATTAAAATTATTTCATTTATGACAAAAATATTTATAAACTTATTTAATATGAATATTATTAAATCGTAAATGGCATAAATGATGAAATGAGCATGACACAATGAAGTTAAAATGTATACATGTTAGTAATTTATATTTTTGGCAAGAAAAAAAAATTCCGTATGTACTTGACATTGAGACCATCGTATTCTGAAAAAAAAAAAAACAAATTGTATATATGTATATATATATATTGTATATATTTGTATACATATTTCAGTTTTTTTTGGCAAGAGTATTAAAAATTCATTGCTATGCCTAATATTTGTTGTTATTTTTTAGCTTTTTAATTTGTGGGCCTTCAGCTGTGTTGTTTTCTTATCTGATGAGGTGTTTTTATACATATACAAATATATATACCTTTGTTCCGTTTAGTCATAAACGTTTCGAGTTCAATGCACTATTTGACTTTCGCACTGCGTCGAAACAACTGATTGCACTTGCGCAAAGGCTTAAATCAGCTGATCAGCTGATCAGATATATAAAAAATGACCTTCAACTTGAGTTGGCAAAGTTTAGCGATTAAAAAAACAATGCTATAATTTCTTTGCTCGACTGCTAATTGCTTTAAGTATACTAAATATTAGATCATTTTTAATCAAATAATATTGCATTTCTTTGTTTTTCTTCTTCTTATAGAACCGAGAGTATTAGCTCCGAGGAGGAGGAGGACTGGCCAACTTCACCCATTATTCCAATTTTCGAACAATGTTAGTAGCATCTACTCACCCCCAGCAGCAGCAGCAAATTTGAGCAGCAACGAAGCAAACAGCAAACAGCACCCAAAAGTCAAGAAACAACGGACAAGTTTTGGGTAGCCGGATCGAAGCAGGTGCAGCAGGCAGGCAGGCAGGAATCATCCATGCAACACAGCAGCAGCAGCAACAGGTGCCACACACTTGTGGCAGCAGTGGAAAAGACATATCTACAGCCACAACAACAACAACTGAGTAACTGCTCCACAATTTTGTGAGCCTCTATTGTGTATGCTTGTGTGTTAGTAATGGGTGTGCGTGTGTGTATATAATGCTAAAAGAAAAACAATGATGCATCATAATTTGTTTAGCATACGCACATATATATATATATATATATATATATATATACATCTCTTTATATATATGTATATGTATGTGCGTATATATATATAATTTACGCTGGTTCTACCATTTAAGAAACTATTGAGAAATGCGAGAGGTCAGCCAAAAGCCAGGCACAGGACACGGCACGAATATATAATTTTTCGATTTAATTTTGCGGCAAGACAGTAAAAAACGTAAAAAAAAACACAAAAGCAAAAAAAAATCCAAAAAAATATACATAAATATAGAACTGATGCGGACCATCATACAAAAGATTGATGTTGTTCCGGACCAATTGAGATCGATAAAGGAAAACGATTTAAATGATAACTGATTATGAAACATGCTTACGGAATGGAACATTAATTTTTTGTGAAAAAAAAAACAACAAAAAAGAAAAAACCAAACAAAAAAAAGTATCTATCAACCCAATTTCAAATAAGTTTAACGTAACTTTCTGTTATCCATGTTTGTTTTGTAAAACACTTAAAAAAAACACTGGACCCTTAAAAAAAGAAAATGAGAAAAAAAATCAACAAAAATCTAAAAAAGTACAAAAAATCATTAAATATAGACAGACTATTAAAATTTAAGTTAAATGTTCAAACTTTACCCCCTAAAATCAAACATAAAATTTGGTCGCGCTGAGGATTCAAGCAAAACTATAACTAAGCAAAACGTAATACAGATATATAAAATAACCCCAATATGTAGTTGAGTGTGTAGTCGATCATTTTTCTGCTCTATAAAAATATATATATATATATAAAACAAAACGAAAAGAAACGTCTATATAGAAAACATTCATAATTATTTTGAGCTAAGTGGAATTTGTTATTATTTATTTAACAACAAGCAAGATCTTTTTGAAATGAAATGTATTTAGAACAATGCAAAACAAAACACAGCAACAAAAACAAAACAGTGATAAATTTTGTCTATATGTATATATATGTATGTATATAGTTGCATATAACTTTTAAAGTATGCATACTATATGCATACATATACATATATATCTCTATTTATATCTATAAACACATTTCACTTTCATTTTTGTTATATAATTTAATGCCTATTTAATTTATTAAAAAACAGAACAAAACTTGTAAAAAAGAAAAAAACATGTACTAAATATACTATAGATATTATTATAGCAAACCAGCAAAGATTAAGAAGAAATCAAAAATCAAGCAACTATATCTTAAAATATGTTGTCTTTGTTTTTGGTTTTGAATTCAATTGAAGCGCCGCGCTCTTTTTAAAAAAAAATTATGATGCATTATATAGGAAAGTATATATATATATACACGGCAGAACAACAACTATGAAGAATCAGAAAGCTCTTAACTCGAGCTAGCAAAAACTATCCGCAGAAGACAAAAAGCAAACAGCAACAACAAGAAAAAGAAAAAGTTTTTACATTTCTCTTAAAATTCTTTTCATTTTTAACAAGGAAAAACAAAAAATTTTTAAAGCAAATGCCAAATCGAAATAATTTAAATTCGATTTAAACATTTTCTCTGTAAATTTTAATAAAATGCGCGTGTCACTGTGCACAGTGGCATACAGATTTCTAATTGAAATATTCGCAACAAATCCAAATGTTTTATTTACCTTTGTGTGAGTGGCTGTGTGTGTGCGTGTGTGTATAGCTGTAGCCAGACTAGCAGAAGCTCCAACTGTATCTTGGAAACACTCGCTCTCACGATCTCTCCTCTCTGGTCAAATGTGAGTACACCTAGAAGAGTAACGAAAAAAAAAAACTTAACAAGCCGCACTCTGCACACTCTGCAAATGTAAATAAAACATTGATAGTTGTACAACAGTTTTAACTTTTTAAATGAATGTGCAATAGTTCAACTATTATTTTCCCCCAAAACATTTTTAAATCTTTCATGGCAATACTCATATATTTTTTTAAGCTTAAGAACAAACATACACAAACGAAAAGTGTAAATGATTTTTAATATTTAAGCGACGAAGCTAGAAGAGAAAATTGTGTGTTCATTGCCAGGCTGCATGAAAAAAAGAAAACATTGTTTTTTTTTTATACATATATTTTTTAATCTTAGTCTAACTTTAAATAATGGCAAAGTGACAAATAAGACAAACAACAAGAAAGAAATGGAAGTATAGACATAAGACTTTCTACAAGTATGCCGCCAGTCGGTTATTCTGACATTAATTGTAACTGTATTTTAAAACTAGCAAATTTTACACATTTTTAGAGCGGAGTTAGTTAAATATTTGCAAGCGAAGTTAAAACAAAAAAACACAAACAAAAACAAATAACGAATCTTTTTAACTAACGAAATGAAATCTATATTAGTATTGTATAATTATTTCACTTAGTAGTACAAAAATAAGAGCAAATGTACTAAATTCTCTTCCGCATTACAATTTAAATTTAATTTTAGTTTTAGTTTCATCTTTGACAAAGAGATCTTAAATTGTACATTTCATTATCTCTAGAGAGGTTTTATAGTATTAGAAATCAATTCATTTTGTAAATTATCATCCATTTATTTAAATTATTCTAAATTTGAAATTTATAAGTTTTAAACGATTCGTCGTGGCAGGCAAAAGAGAAAGAACAATTAAGATAATTGAAGATTGTGTATAGATGTTGAAGGAGCTGTAAAAGAACAACAAAAACCGTGATTTAATTCATTGTATACACATGAAAACAAATAAATGGAAAAAAGTATTATTAAATGGTAAAAGAAAAAGAACTTTGAATTTCATTTTGTTGCATTAATTAAAGAGCAGTTGTTGTGTAAATCGATTCTATGACATCTTCATCATCGGCACTGTCCAGTGTCATCGGTTTATTTTAGATAGTCATCGGAACGAGTGTTGGAAAACATGTAAACTCATAGCTGCACGGATATTTATCGATAGCAGCATGTCGTGTTTTTGCTTCGTGCTGGCAATGCCGTGACACATAACCTTCCTTTTCTAAATAATTTTTGTGCTGTGTACACGTGTTCTCCACAATGGCACCCATCGTGAAAGCTAAAAAGGTCGCCAAATCGGCCAAAAAGGGCAAGAAGCATCCCTTGAACTCATACCTGAAGGGCGGTATCCTGCGATACTCCAAAGCCCAGGTAAAAACAAAATGAAACACACTCAGAAAATACGGTCACAAAGTTTGGCATCTGCAGTGACGCGCCGCCTTTGCGTCGACAGCAACAGCGTGTGTGAATAATGTGATTAATTAGTGTTTTATATATTTCTTTTGTGCTGTATAGATGTACAAGCGCCGTGCGCTGTACCGCCTGAAGGGTAAGAAGAGTCCCGTTGTCGAGAAGGAGAAGGTGCCCATCAAGAAGGTGAAGAAGATCGGTGGCCCCAAGAACGGTGGTGAGCGTACCGTCTATCTGCGCAAGCCCAAGGCCAACTATCCAACCAAGACGTTCGTCAAGAAGCGTCCCGGCAAGGCCAACTTCAGTGAGCACAAGCGCAACACTCGCCGCAACCTGCAGCCCGGCACCATCCTCATTCTGTTGGCTGGCCGTCACCAGGGTAAGCGCGTTGTCTTGCTGAAGACTCTGGCCTCCGGCCTATTGCTGGTCACTGGTCCATTCGCCATCAACTCGTGCCCACTGCGTCGTGTGTCACAGCGCTACGTCATTGGCACCTCAACGCGTGTGGACTTGAGCACCTATAAGGTGCCAGAGCATTTGAATGACGCCTACTTCCGTCGCCTAAAGGCCAAGAAGCAGAAGAAGACCGGCGAGGCCGACATCTTCGCAGCCAAGAAGGAACGCTTTGTGCCCAACGAGCAGCGCAAGAAGGACCAAAAGGAGGTCGACAGCGCCCTGTTGAAGCTCATCAAGGCCCATCCGGAGGGAAAATACTTCACGAAGTACTTGCAGAACATGTTCGCTCTCCACTCGTCCCAATACCCACATCGTCTGCGCTTCTAAACAACGCGTAGCCCAAGAAAAACTTCACTTTAAGGACTTTTTAAATACTTTGTACAAGCCCCGCTGATTACAAACAATTTTGTAAAAAGAAAATAAAACATTACAGAACCGGAACTCAGTGTCGAGGTATGAGGAAAAGAACAAACTAAGTGTGGTCTTGATTATTTTGCAGGCGCCTCTTGCTGACAAGTTTCTTCTTCTTTGTGATCTTTCTGGTCCTCGTCGTCATCTTCATCCTCTTTATCTGGAAAGTACTGCATCTGAAGATTGAGTGCACTTAAGAATTTCCGACGTCCGTGTATATACCAGAGCATCTCACGATACGATCCCGGCAGCACCTCATCCACAATGGTGTCCGCCTTGAAGGTGATGTAGAATATGTTGGTCGTCGTATGCTCTTGCCTGTCCGTATTGAAATTTTGTGCAATGGTCATCAGCTGCAGGTAGTTGTGCGACGTATACACCACATGGGCGTTCATCTGCAGGAAGTCGGTGACCATAACAGGCTTCAGAAAACTTATGTCCGATATGCACTTCAATCTTGGCGTATCCCCCACATAGACGCTGGCCATGACGACGGTCAGCTCGACGGCCTGACGCATCAGGTAGCCGCCGAAGACCGTGTTCTGTGAATTGCGATTCTGTGGATATGGTTTCAACAGGGTCGAGCACATGCTGTCCTTCATCCAGCGGCAACGGTGCGGCAATATGCGTTTGTTCAGCTCAAAGGTGTATGGGGGCGTGGTCCGCTGGAGAACATTATACATGATTGCCTGCTCATGCTCCAGCGGGGGTGAAATGAATACACTTTCACCTCTAGCTCGTTTGCGTTCGATTTGTCGCTCATTCGCCGCTTCCCAATATTTTTGCTCCATTTCGTCGGCTGGCTTCAGGGTGTTCGCTGGAGCTGGGCCCGTGTTGGTGGCGTTCCGAGCAACCATTATGAACAGCGCTTTGGTCACATTCACATACTCGCCATCGACCGGCTGCCGCACATAGATTGTTATCTCCATGGAACTGCTGCCGGTCCAGGAAACAAAGCCGCTCAGCTCCAAGTTCTTGTTCAGGGCTAAATACTCCGTGTTCTTAAAGTCGACGCGATCCACGAGGATTGTGACGAAGGTATAGGGCAAGAACACATTCTTGGGCAGATTTGGCAGCTGGATATGCTGATGACATATCCAGACTGGAGCAAGGCGATTAATAGTCATTATATATTATAGTCGTGGTGCTCACCTGCAAACATGTCCATGTCCTCCATCAGGCGACCCAAACGCACCCGGCCCAGGTGATTAACGTAACGTTCTCGGATCAGCTCATTGCCGTACAACGGCACAGTTACTATGGTATAGGAATCCTTCATGCTGCGCGTCGGCAGCTCCTCCTGCTTGGGCTGGTACTTGAGCAGATTCTCTCGCGACTTGGGTCTAATGTGATACCCAATGTCGACGCCCGTGCGCTCACGTAGCTTTATTACGACTGCGTGGAGGAGCGATCAGGAGTGTTGTTTATCTTAATGGCTTTCGCTGCTTACTGTCATGGATGGTTCCAGAATTATGATCCGATTGCTCCTTCATATATTCATCCATATAATAGTGCCTGCGCGCACAGTGCAGGGGCCATCGCGCTTGAATCCTATTTTATTTTGTGATTTCATTATGTATACACAAGATTACAGAAATAGGTGGCTATGCCTCACCTGATTAAATATTGCCATCTTCTAGGGGTCCAGAGACTTTGACGCTTCATACGGGAATTTTCAATTTAGAATTTGCAATTTAAAAAAAAAAAACGACAAAATTTTAAGGGATAATCTGATTGTGAAAATACTACATAGCTATATTCATATTAAATAAATTCACTAAGTGCTTGTTAACAAGAATTTATCTATATAAATGGGAGATATACAGATTAGATATGCGAAAGTGATGAAACATACAAAATATTAGTTATTAATGCTTCGATGATTGCTAAAAGACATCAGATATTATAGATGGGGATGATTTACAGTTTCATTGACATTATAGATTCAAAACAAATAAATTTATTTTAAATCTAAGAATTGGTAATAATAAACATTTTTGCATTATATTAGGTTGAAAGTTCTTTATTTAGTAAATTCCATTTTTTAAAAAAGAGATAAAATATTTGTAAATTTTACAATTAAACAGAAAAGCAAAGGGCAGATCTAATGTTGTGTTGGTTAATCTGAAGAAGATGTATTATTTATCGCCACTTTAGTATTGCCTCCTTAGCTGTAGCCCCACCACATACTGCGTTATCCAGATTCATTCGTAATGTGGGTCTATATCCATGCTGTATTTGAATTTACGACGTCCTTGAATGTACCACATAGTCTCGTGATAGGAGCGTGGCAGCACCTCGGTCACTGTGTGCGATGCCGAGAAGGTGTAGTAAAAGGTGTTGGTGGTCACCTGGTTGCCCGAGTGCGGATCCAGCACCTCGGCCACAGTCATAATTTGCAAATAGTTCAGCTTCGTGTAGACAACATAGGCCGTCATCTTAATGAACGAGTCAACGCTCACGGGCTTCTCGAAGCTAATGTCCGCAATGCGTTCCAGCTTGGGACGTGTCCGACAGTAGAGTACTGCAGCTGCCCAGCTAATCTCTAAAGCGCAGCGCATGAGAAAGCCGCCAAAGACGCGATTGTGATGATTACGATGTTCGGGAAAGGAGGGTATGGTGCTCATCTGATACGAATTCGACATCCATCGGCAGTTGGGCGGCAAGATTCGTTTGTTCAGTTCCATGGTGTCGTTGGGCGTTGTCCGCTTGAACAGTTCATACATAATGGTTTGCTCCGGATCGTTGGGCTCCACCTTGAAGATAGACTGGGCGCCAAGCAATTGACGTTGCTTTTTCCGTGCCATGCCGCCATCCAAGATGAGTTGCTCCTCCTCGTTGCCGGGTTTAATGGGATTCACTGGCGCCGCTCCCGTATTTGTTGCATTCCGTGCAGCCATCAGAAAGAGGGCACGCGTCAATTTCTGATAGCTGCCGTTTTGCATCTGCTCCAGCCACACGACAACTTCCATGGAACTGGTGCCCACCCACGAAACATGCCCGGACAGACGAATATCGGCAGTGCCGGAAGCAAGCACATCGGTGAAATCAATGCGATCCACCAGAATAGTGACAAAAGTGTAGGGCAAAGGCACATTTGCCGGCAGATTGGGAATGACGACATGTTTGTGACAGCTCCAGGCTGTAAGAGATAATATAGCCATGAATATCCTGTTAGATTTCTATAGGGTAATGTATTCCAACCCGCAAACATGTCCATATCCTCGAGCAGTCGACCCATACGCACATTTCCCAGATATGTCACGTACCTGTCCTGCAACAAGAGATTCGTGCTGAGTGGTATGATGGCCGATGTGAAAGAGTCCTGCATTGTACGTGCCGGCAGCTCCCCCAACTTGGGCTGATATTTAAGGAGATGTTCGCGCGACTTTGGCAGGGGATGATAGCCGTGTTCCAAGCCCAGGCGTTTCATCATCTCTTCCTTGACTGAGAACAGAGCGGAGGACTAAAGTGAGCATTTGAGATAAACCTCGGGGATTCACTTACTCTCCGCCATCGTGCCCGACTCATTGGCCGTCGAATGCTTGATGTGCGTGGGCGGCCCAAAATGACGGCTACAACATTCGCTATTTGTTTATAAACTAACATTGAATACTATTTGCTACTCACATAGAGACGACGGACGCAACATTGCTAGGGACACACAGCTTACTAGGTGTTCTTTTAATCAGTGCATTGCTGGCCAGGCTTACACATCGTTTTGCCCCTGCTAAATGGCGCAACATTATTGCAAATTTTGTTTAAAGATTGCCGAAAAGAAAAATGGCGATTTTTCGTTGACCTAGAACTAGTTGCTGTTACGTGTGTACATACTCTACTGACGAACAGCTGATTCGCAGGCTGCGCACAGTGGTTTAATGTTGATCGTAATCGTTGCATTTAGTGTGCTGCTTGTGGAAATTTTCGCGTGTGTGATAAGGTCGTTTGTTTGCTGTCTTCTTTATCTAATCTAAATTATGAGCGTACAAGTGTTCACGATTTATTAACAACACTTATAATGTTTGCATACGCCTACATTCAATAAATGCATGATTCTATGCTTATCTGTGACAAGTGCACCACGGTTCATTAGCGACATCTGGTGACGTCATCAATAACGGTGATGATGTTCACGTTGATTAGCAGCAAATCAAGTTTGATTATGATGGCACAACTAATTGTCACTATAAAGAGGGTCACTTATTGAAATGTAATTAATTGAATATAATCAATAAAAAATATATACATATCTACAAATACATGTATACATATTTCAATAGGCTCTACCATTCATCAGGCAAAATAAATGCCTCATGTACTGTATAGGACTAAAAATAAGCAATAAGTGTTTTCCATATTTCAATATTCAATATATTTAATATTCAAGTTAACAATATAATATTCAATACTTTTTACTAAATATGCTACATAGATTTCATGAAATGTGAAAGTATTTAAGATTATAATATTATTTAATATTCTTAAGTAAACAATAATACATTCAATACATAGTATACTGATTAAATTAATAAATGATACTCTAGAGATTCAGTTCCTTCAGGGCAAAGTTAAGAACCATGGGCAGCAGGCCCGCGTCTTCCAGATCCAGAATCTGCTGGCGTAAATTATCCATAGGCTTGGACGTGATAAGCTGCAAAGAAAAAAAAATTAGTTTAGAAATTAGGGAAAGTAAAACTTAATCTCGATTCTAACTTACTTTCTTAACCTTTTCGCGATCCTCAGCGCTTTGGCAGAATATAAGTACAATGGCTGCCATGTGTGGACGTTGGATGAGCATGCAGAGCTCGGCAAATTGATAGAGATTCAGGGCATGCACAACCGGACAGCCCTGCAGACGTAGCAGCGTCTTTTGCAGTCGCTCCTCCAGTGCATTGGAGCGTGTCTGCACCGCATTCTTGAGCGGATGCGACAGCACACAGTCCCAGGCCAGAGCGAGGCCATCGAGATGCAACAGCTGCCGCTTACAACTTAGTACATCAACCAATGCATTGAGCTCGCGCACCATATTGAATATAACCATGCGCTTCAGTATGCCGTTCCAGATCTTGGGCAAATGTATATCGAAGCCCAGGCAAATGTCAGCCATTACCTCTAGTGAAAGGGAATTCTGTGCATTGCGCTGCCAGAGCATCTTCAGGATGCTAATCTTATCGCAGCTATCGTCCGCAAACTTCTCTATGTTTGAGTTGTAGCCGAGCGCCTTCAGTTCGTGGACACACTTGATCGTTATAAACTGTCGCTGGCTGATGGTGTTGCTGAAGGAGTTGCTGCCATCGTTGAGCTTCGAGTAGCATTCGTACATTTGCAGCTGCGTGGAGGTGTTCACAGGGCTGTAAAGGTAGCACAATAATCAATATATGATATCATCAGAGTAAATTTCAGACATACCCGCCCTTGAAGATCAGGCCAACCAGGAATTGCACCGCCTCCGATTTTGGCCAGCTGCTGAGTATATAAAATGCTCGTACAACATTCTCACTGGCATTTCCTGTTTCGTCGCCGCCACTGCCGTTGGTACCATTCTCTGGCCAGTTGTGATCCTCGAGGAAGGTCTCCTCCATAATAGTGCCGTCGGTAGTCTCCATTGTGACGGACAGCCACTTCTGCAGCAGCTTAAACTGTATGGCATCGAGGCTGAGTTCGTGCAGCGCGCAAATCTCCTTGACTAGGCCGTTGATGTCCACCTTACTGGACTTGAGTATCAATTCGTGATGGTAGAGGCAGTGGATGAGCTCTGTGGGATGCTCGACGAGACGCAACAGTTTCTCATCTGTCATGCCATAAACGTGGAGCAAATGCTGTGTCTTTTGCATGGGATATCTTCGCTTGATCTTGACCAACTGTTCCTGACATTTGGGATCTTTGGTCAGCTCTTCGTGCTCCATGGCATATTTCCAGCACTCGTAAGAGGCCTCCACCTGATCTGCACCCTCTGGCGCATAGCCAGCAACGAAATACAAGATTAGGAACACCTTGCTCGGACTGTGCACATTCTTGACCAAACGAAGTATCTACAAAGCAAATGCGATTTGGTTCGATAAAAAAAAAACTACATTAAATTTAGCTAAAGCTCCTACCGATTTAAGGAATGCATTATTTGTTGGATGCAAGCTCCAAGTTTCAGAATCGTTTTTCGATTTATACTCGGCTATGGAGTTCTTGACGGCTGCCATGCAGAAGTAGTCACAGTTCTGTGAGATTTCCTTGGAGTTTTTCAGCGCAATGCACATGAGTATAAGGGGAAACCAGCTCTGGCAGTTGTCCACATTCAGCTCGCTATCTGCAGCCGGAGACATCATAGAGATAAGATTAATATGGGAGTTTCATATATACAGCTAAGATAGAATCACCCACCGAGTATGTCCTTCAGAGGCTTCTCCACAATAGGCTTGAACGGCAGTCGATAGCGCGCTATCTTGGGCAGCACACCGTTCTCCTTCTGGGACTGCAGCCACATGTCCGTCTCCAGTTGGCCTGGCCGATTACGACGACGTTTGTTCATCTTGTGGCGCAGGAAATGCAAAATATTTATCCATGTTTCCATCTGCTTGGGCGCAGCATCGAAAAATATGAGAATCTCAATGACGCACAGATACAGTTCATAGAAGTAGATGTTGATCTCCTCAATGAATTGCTTCAGTTTGGCTATAAAGAGATCCACGTTCTTGATCTCGTTTATGTACGGCTGGCA